TGCAAGTATTTAATACTTGAAATTAAAATTAGGGATCAGGGCTGAGTCTACGACAAGATACGTATCAATGCACACGTCCAATTTTTTTTGCGTACAATGGTCATGGTCTCCAGACGGTGACATTTAAAAAAAAAACTATTTGATTGGTCTTTGTAATTTTTATTTTCCAACCTGTCTTGTCATTTCGACTACGACACGTACGATTTTTTCAATCACGTTTACTATCATACATATCGTACACCGAAATTAAACGTATCTTAATTATTCAAAAATAAAAATTATGTTATGTTATATATATATATATATATATTATCGAATATCATATCAACATTGATTTAATGTCGTATAGTATATCAATATTGTTAGCTGGAAACTGTCTAATGAAAAAGTCCACTTAATATTTGGACAAATTATTATTATGTAATACTATATTGTATGAATTATGTATTAATGACGACGACCTTACTTGATCTCGGAAGTGTATTAATTTAATCGCGGTGCATCGCTGTCCACACGGTTGGGTTCATGCGTACGTGGCATTTGCTGGCAAGTGGCAGTGAAGTTTCTTGTTTGATACTGTATGTTCCATTCATGTCTTTCCCAAGATGCATGTTTCTTCTATTTTTAATAAATATTTTCTTCTTCTGTTTTTTAAAAAATATTATGTTTTCTTTCCTTTTTATAGAAGAATAATTGCTAGACGATTATTTGTTTTACCGTAAGAAAAAGATAAGATTCTTTGTTTGAAGTACACATAAAATTTTCCCTTGAGATTATGCTTTATTTATTTGTTTGAAAGGAGTATAAATGTTTCAAACTTCTAGTCTTCTTTTAATCAATGTAGTTTAAAAAAAAAACGATAGAAGCACGTCAAAACTCCACACTAATAATGTAAGTGGTAATCATCATTGCCTAAAACAATGATATAATTAAAATTTTAGAATTCGTCGTCGACAAAGAAATTTGGTTATGATGAAGGTTTTGTGCATAATTATGAACCGATCCATATATTTCACTCTAACTAGGAATAGATGTTTGATGGGATACAAGTGATTAAGTGAACACGACACAAAGTAACAAAAAATCATTTAAGGTCACAAAATTTTCTAAGACGGATTTCGAAGTATCAAGAAAAAGGGAATTTTTTTTGTTTTTCAAGGGCAATTAAAAACGTAATCTCATTATGTCTTTGAAATCTAATTAAAAGTTGAGTTTATTTTAATTATTAGTTTCCTTTTTGTTGATGTAAAGGATCACAACCCATTTGATTTGAAAGATTAACATAAATCATTTTGATCATACATATATTGCTTAAATCACACCCGTTTATCTCTAAAAATCTCCATAATTTATATCAAGAAAATAAAACTAATTATTGATATCGCTATCAGATAAAATTTTCTTAAATACATTTCTTTTTTGTTAAAATTTTAATTAGAAAGATAAGTGGACAATGACTCGAGACAAAGACACCATCTTTAGGGCCTTGAGTAATTAGAGACAGCATAAACACATGCACCAGTCCTGTCTTTATTTAATTATTATGTGGTGTTTACTCTAATGACGTCGCTTTGATTAACCAAGTGGTCATAATACTTCGATCGAATTATATATTTATCTTAAATTTGATTTAAGCATGTTGCCTTATACTAATATCTAAGTTTTTTTCTTAATCATAACTTCAACAATAATCAAAATAATAATAACAATAATTATGATAAGAAAAAAAAAAGTGGTGTCACAACTTTTTGTCGATTAGAGAAATTATCGTAGCTAAGTTGACTTTAAATGGAAGCAAACGAGTGAAAAATCAAGAGAATATTTTGAAGTTTTTGTAAGAATTATTCGGTTTAGTCTGATTTTATAAAGTTGTTCGTTCTGATTAAATTTAAGGTTTAAATGGTAATAGTGGACTTCGACAACAAACATGGTTCTCATGGATACTTGATGGTAAATTTGTATAGATATTTAAATTGGTTAACTAACATGATAACAAAACCTTATTTGATAAAATAACTGAATATTATATGGTTAAATAGCTAAAATTAATGTGAAGTAGTAATTAATTAATGGAATAAAAATAAAAGTAGTTTTCAAAAAATTGATAACTAACTACTAATATTTACATCAAAATTTGGTCACTAATTCTGTTACCAAATTAATAAATAAATAAAACCAAACATTAATTCGAAAATAAAACCAAACATCTTTTTCCAAATAAAGGGTCATTATGATAATACGTATTGAACTTAATAAAGCAAAGCAAAAATAATGGGTTTCAAGGTTTGGTTATATCTCTATTGGGCCAATAACTATCTTATTACAAATGTGGGCCAATAAAAGTTATTTGAGTCAAACCCAACTCAAACAAAACCCAAATCCAAAGAAAAGTATATGGTGCACACACACTTATGGTGTGAGTAAATGCAGGTGAATATTCCTCGTCGTCTTCTTCTTCTTTCTTCTGCAGAAGATTACCCAATCTGAAAAAAAGCAAGAAGCTGACAAAATTCTGAATTCTCTGCGATTTCCATGGAATTATCTCTTCTCCGTCCGAAGACTCAATCGCTTCTTCCGTCGTTCTCGAAACCGAATCTCCGAGTAAATGTCTATAAGCCTCTTAAACTCCGTTGTTCGGTGGCCGGTGGACCAACCGTCGGATCTTCCAAAATTAGCGGCGGAGGAGGCACCACCATCACGACGGATTGTGTGATTGTCGGCGGAGGTATCAGTGGTCTTTGCATCGCGCAGGCGCTTGCTACAAAGCATCCTAACGCTGCACCGAATTTGATTGTGACTGAGGCTAAGGATCGTGTTGGAGGCAACATTATCACTCGTGAAGAGAATGGTTTTCTATGGGAAGAAGGTCCCAATAGTTTTCAGCCGTCTGATCCTATGCTCACTATGGTGGTAAGTTCTTGATTGTGAAAGTTTCGTTGGTACTGAGAACAATGTAATTGAATTGCTTGCATGTTGTAGATGAGATTTGTGAATTTAGCCTTTCTCTGTTTATGGTTAGTTCAGGTAGATAGTGGTTTGAAGGATGATTTGGTGTTGGGAGATCCTACTGCGCCAAGGTTTGTGTTGTGGAATGGGAAATTGAGGCCGGTTCCATCGAAGCTAACAGACTTACCGTTCTTCGATTTGATGAGCATTGGTGGGAAGATTAGAGCTGGGTTTGGTGCTCTTGGCATTCGACCATCACCTCCAGTGTGTATTCTTACCACCTTTAGATCAATACGATTTTTAGGCTTTATGTTGGTAGAATCTGTGCTCATGTTCTTAGAGTTTGGCAAAGGTGACAGGGTCGTGAAGAATCCGTGGAGGAGTTTGTACGGCGTAACCTTGGTGATGAGGTTTTTGAGCGCCTGATTGAACCGTTTTGTTCAGGTAGAATGAGTGACAAATTGAACTTCATATGAACCATTCATAATTTAGATGTCAGCGAATCTGATTGTCTAGCAGTTTTCATTTTGTTCTAGTGCACCCTTAATACTTTAGATTTCAATGTTTTTAGGTGTTTATGCGGGTGATCCTTCAAAACTAAGCATGAAAGCAGCGTTTGGGAAGGTTTGGAAACTAGAGCAAAATGGTGGAAGCATCATAGGTGGTACTTTTAAGGCAATTCAGGAAAGGAAAAACGCTCCCAAGGCAGAGCGAGACCCGTGAGTAACATAAACTTTTCAGTTGCTTGGGGTCTTTTGTCCCTTGATATATATATTTGTAAAACATCTCAACCTGCTTCTTCAGGCGCCTGCCAAAACCAAAGGGCCAAACAGTTGGTTCTTTCAGGAAGGGACTTCGAATGTTGCCAGAAGCAATATCTGCAAGGTATCCATTACTTGTCTCTCTCTATTGGAAGGGAAAAGGGAAAAACTTTCAAATGTTTTCTGAAATCTTTTGCAATTTGACAGGTTAGGTAGCAAAGTTAAGTTGTCTTGGAAGCTCTCAGGGATCACTAAGCTGGACAGCGGAGGATACAACTTAACATATGAGACTCCAGATGGTGTAGTTTCCGTGCAGAGCAAAAGTGTTGTAATGACTGTGCCATCTCATGTTGCAAGCGGTCTCTTGCGCCCTCTTTCTGTAAGTTTCTCGTTTTGGGAACTAGGAATTTGCACAAAATTCGTAGATTCAACAAATATGGGTTCTTAAATCGCGTGCTGCAACTGTTATATTCTCAGGAATCTGCAGCAAATGCACTCTCAAAACTATATTATCCACCAGTTGCAGCAGTCTCTGTCTCGTACCCGAAAGAAGCAATCCGAACAGAATGTTTAATAGATGGTGAACTAAAGGGTTTTGGGCAATTGCATCCACGCACGCAAGGAGTTGAAACATTAGGTATATATATCTTGTAGTTTTCATTGTCAATTATGTCAAAATGTTCATAGAATCTTCATGCGGTTGCTGGGATTTCTTCAGGAACTATATACAGCTCCTCGCTCTTTCCAAATCGAGCACCGCCCGGAAGAATTTTGCTGTTGAACTACATTGGCGGGTCTACAAACACCGGGATTCTGTCCAAGGTAAAATACAACAAACACTTGTAGCACATCTTTTTTCAAACAAGTAAACCTAAGAACTGATATTTTCCTCTCTCTCTCTTGGGTTTTGATTCCGCAGTCCGAAGGTGAGTTAGTGGAAGCAGTTGACAGGGATTTGAGGAAAATGCTAATTAAGCCTAATTCGACTGATCCACTCAAATTAGGAGTTAGGGTATGGCCTCAAGCCATTCCTCAGTTTCTAGTTGGTCACTTTGATATCCTTGACACGGCTAAATCATCTCTAACGTCTTCGGGCTACGAAGGGCTATTTTTGGGTGGCAATTACGTTGCTGGTGTAGCCTTAGGCCGGTGTGTAGAAGGCGCATATGAAACCGCGACTGAGGTCAACAACTTCATGTCACGGTACGCTTACAAGTCAATGTAAAACATTAAATCTCTCAGCTTGCGTGAGTTTTATTAAATACTGAGATATTAAACTTCAATTTCATTTGATACATAGATTTGAGTTTATAGTTATATTTAGGAGAAGGGTCTTTGGTTCTCGCAGTCTAAATTAGGTCCTGTGGTGACTTTAAACAACTGAACGTATCTTTGGAAATACCCGACCCGGTCACTGACCCGTCCATCTCCTGGAATCCCACATTCTAAACCGCCGTTTATGATGTTGGTGACTAAACCATAACCGACAGTCCGGTTTGCTGCTCTATCTGCTTTCGTCGGTCTGTATCGGTTGACCATAACGTCATGGCAGGACGGCTTAGGAGTCTGTTCAGTCATCCAAAACCAAAGAGCTGTCTTGAAAGCTAAAACGGAGTTGTTGGCTACAAGTTCTGGGTTCTGTAAACCGTCAAATCCCAATGCTCGACCCGCCTGTCCGTAATTGTAATTCCTGTTTATCCCCAAAAAGAGAGTAAAGTTAACCAAAAGCTAAGACTGATATATGGATATGAATGAAACTTGTAGAATAGATGATACAACTGTTTAAAAAAGTTTTATTGGTAATGTTTTCATAGGGACATTGAAATATTGAAATGAGACCTGGTTGTTCGAGAAAATAAATAGATATAAATGGTTATTGGTTAATAATTAATATTCTAGACTTACCAAGAAAGTTGAATGGGACCTCTTCCTTTGTAAGACTTGCCAGGAACACAAGGCCACTGCGTATTAGAGGCATCACAATAATTACTTTGTGGACTCACTTCCTCTTTAAAACATAATCCCCATGCGTACGGTCCGTCCGGTGCCGTGGCCCAACCACCTGTTGTCTCGTGAGATATCTGTGCCAAAAACGCAGCCACTTCGCGCCGCCTTGTCCAAGAGTTTCCTACGCTCCCGAACCTCGGGAAGGACCTTGTAGCCTCCACAAAAGCTTCGTAGGGGTAGAAACCTTTTGCAGGGCAAGCGTTGTTGTCCTTGTGGATGAATATTTGGTCGTAGAGAGATCTTGGGACTAGGCTCATGATTGGTGCGGATTTATATTTGGAGTGTTTTCGAGCTTCGGTTTCATGGAGAGAGGATGATATTGAGAAGATGAAGAGGACGAGGCAGAGCAATAAAGAAATTTGTTTCTCCATATTTGTTCTTTCTTGTGTGGTGTGAGAGATGGGGTTTTGGCTTTCTTGTTATATAGAGATGTAGTAGTGGAAGACTTAGTTACATGTTTTTGGTTTGGTCAACGTTTTGACTTTTTTTTAGTGGAGTTTATTGTTTTCATTTTATATAGTTGCAATTATTTACGGGTCTATTCTCTTTTCCATTGTTAGAGGACCCATTCTTCTTTCTTCTTTTTTTTTCCACATTTTTAAGATCCATTCTTGATTTATAGAAAATGTATGATATATATTTCAAACGAGATAAATTGAACCATTTCAGTCTGAATTCAATTGAATAACATTAATAAGAAGACCAACATGAATTTGAATGTGGGAAATTAAACTTCTTTGGAATGTACTAAACCAAATTCAAACATAAGTTTAAATTCTTTGAAATTTAAAATATAGAGTAATTTATTAAGAAGTAAATATTAATCAAAACAGATAGTGTACCAAACTGAATTATGCTGAATTTTGGTTTCATTTTGAATACTATGCTATATAAAAAAAAATTGAGATAAAATATTAGTTTACAAAACTATCAAAGACTGTTTTTGAAGTTAAGAAATATAAAATTTCAAAGTTCGAGGTCGGTGGCTAACTAACATGTAAAGTGCCGAGCAACTTGTGATATGAATTGGACCAAGTCGTGACGACTATTTAATAAGATCAAGATCCAATTATTTCTAAATAAAAACAGTAAATCGCCAACATATATATAGTTGTTAAAGTAATTTTCTATTAACCAAGACGACAATATTCTTGGCCTTTAAGAAAGATTAGTACACGATCAATCCCAACTATTAAACCAGCAGAAGAGAAACCATATGTAGGGTACGAGTTTCTGAATCTCCAACTTTTCAGTAGACGAGCTAATGTTTAATCACTAAAAGCCGACAACAAATTCAATGGAGACATGCACACCACATCATAAACATGCATCCATCCGAGATTATTGTCGTCTTTCGAAGAGTTCCAACCCTAGTACCAGGCCCGGCCCGGGGTTAAAGCCCGTGAAGCAAGGTCAGGCATCAAGAGATAATTAACATTTTAGGGGCATCAATTTCTGAAAACGTTTAAGTGGTGTAGCGGTAGAGTCTACTATTATACTCTCTTCATGTGACCAGTTCGGTTCCTATCATTGCCATTACTTTTATTTATTTTTTTCAACAGTTTTTTTAGTGGACCAAATTTTTTTTCTGCTTTAGGCACTAAAATTGTTTGGGCCGGCCCTGCCTAGTACACTACTCAAAGGGTTGATCTTTTTCTTTTGAACTCTTACCAAATAGCATATTAGGCTTTGGATCACTTCCCTAACAAGCCTGAACCCTGAAACATCATTTCATTCCCACTTCTCCTCCCACTAAACCGACTTTTTATCCAAGCTCTTTACTTATTATTCTGTTTTTTTTTTTGGGGTTAATTGCTAAAGGATTGACCATTAATTCGACCACGTGATTACACAAAACTACAAAAGAGACGTTTAGATCCACTACATTGGTGCGATGTGAAGTGATCACCATTGCTTTAGTTTACACGTCCATTTATATTATAAAACGTTGTGTATAATTAAAAAAAAAAAAAAAAAAAAAAAACGTTGTGTATAATCTATATATATAATGGGAGAGTTGTCTCTCCATCTAGGGTGTCCACATCATCATCCAAGTCATCATATTTTAATTTTGTGTGGGCTCCACATATTTTATTTACTAAAACAAACATTAACACTAAAATTAATTCACACATTAAATAAAAACAATAATTGATAAAAAACTAAATGAAATATTATGAGAAAACAAAAAAATAAAAATAAATATACAACTTAAAATATGTAAATTTTGAATCGAGATTGGATAAATATAAACTAGATAATTATATTTTAACATATGAATAAATATTTTAAAATAGTTAGAGATAGAAAAAAAGAAACTTATCTATATTTTACCGGTACAACAATTATTTTTAAGAGTTACAATTATTTAGTAGAGTAAAGAAAATAAGAGTTAAAAAATATCAAATTTAAAGGTTTTTACTTAAAATAAAAAGCAATTCATTTCTGAAAATAGACATTCAAAGTGTGAGTACCGATTAAAAAATAAGAAGGATTTAGGACATATTATTATTTCTAATTATAATATAATATTTAACAAAATAATAATAATTATAATATAATATAAATAGTTAAATTAATAAATATTTCTATATTAGTAATGTATTCTAAATTAAAAAGTGGTGCTTTGTTTAAAAAAAATGAATACCTAACAAAGAAAAAGTAAATATTAATTAGTATTTAGGAAATTAACATAGATTGAAAAAAACAAATGTGATTTGAAAAAAAAAACAAAAAAAACTATCCTAAACATCATAAATACAAATAAAATAATCTTATAGAATAATAAAACTGTGTAATAATAATATATGAGAATGCTATTTGGCAATATAGAAGAGTTTTTTCATTAGAAATAAGAAGGATTTTGTTTATTTAAAAAAATGTATTTTAAATTAGAATAATTTTTATGAGTTCGTAAGTGTTACATTTTAATAAAGTCAACATTAAGAATACTCTCTAGAATCATAAGTTACGTTAAGTTATATATGTAGAAAGAGAATTTTGTATTTTTTAAATGGCCAAGATAAAGTGCAAAATTTTACGTTGAAATTTTGTTTGTGAGTAGGAATGAGTCCATATATGAGATTTGTTGTCTATAAAGCAATTTTAGATGCACCAAAACATGGTTAAGAAATCTTATAATAAACATCTCCCCAGATTTCTGTTTCCGATGCTCACTTTAATAAAAATATCATGAAACTTATAAAAAAAATTGAGCAGTGAAAGATATGAAGGAGGAAATAAATATGATCTAAGGAGAAAAGAGAGTATATGTCCGGAGACGAAGAGTGAATTATAGAAGATAACGAGAAAAATTGTAGTGAAAAGTGTGAGAAATTTTTTACTACTTTGAAAAACAATGCACATGAGTAATAAAATATTTTAAAATTTAATTAATTATATTTATATTCAAAGAAAAAAGTTTTATATTAAATCCCGCGCAACGCGCGGGTACACAATCTAGTTATATAGGTTTGACAATTCAATTTATTTTAATATATGTATATATAGTTCTTTCAAGTGGGCTTAGATCGAAATCTCGTCAATAGATATTTAAAGGAATATATATCTAATCACATAATATAAATCATACAAGAGAAAACTACCAATATCAAACATGAACGATGATTAGAGAAAGATAATGTTAAGTTTAATCGGATTCTAACTTTAAATCAAGGAGCAATGATTGGATTTGTCACTTTATACTTTCGATTTTCGATGTAGGATCCTAATTAGAATTATAAACAAACATTCCAAGTGTTTATTATCAAAATGCATTTCGTTTTTCCAAACATAACGAGATTTGGGCAGAAACAACCAGTTTGTTTACCAAGTATTATAGGGGGCTTAACTTTGGCAATCGAAGGCCCAGTTTCGATTTTGTCAGCCCACTAGAACTAAATTAATTTCGAAACTGTATAGTTAACTGCACTCGTACAAGAGAAAATGTTCACATTGTTAGTCATTGATTTAGACAACTTTTATTTTTTAAATTATAAAATTTATAGGATTGTAATAATCAGGTTGAGTTCAAATGTCAAAATAAAAAGCCAAAAGCAAAGAAAAACAATTTCAGTTTTACTTTTACCGTCTTTTTGACCAAATCAGTAATTGAGTAGTAGTAGTAAGTAGTAACAAAGGGAATCCCGGAAATAGAGTTGCTTTCACATGTGAAAAAAAATCATTAATTTTTTTTTTTTAATGATATGCGGTAGTTCCTGATGAACTCTTGAAACCCTATTTTTCAAATATACCACAATATTCATGAATAAATCTTATGATCTTCTATTGATATTTCAAAAAAATTAAGATATCTAACAATATGATTAATAATTTTTTATTAAATTTGATTAAATTTTCAGCTAATTACAATTTTTTCCCCTAAAAATTCAAAATTTCCAGAATATGATGATCAAAGAAAATGATGTCATTGGAAAAAAAAATTAGAGTATAAATTTTTTTGGATAAACCCTTAAAATTATTGTTTATGTACTCGATGTTTTCGGAGATAAATGGAGTGTGATGTGAATTCAAGAACCAAGTATTAGTGGGAGAACAAATTTTGAGTGACCACTTATCACAAACTTTACGTCTGTTGATAACAGTTTACAGCGTAGTTCCTAATCCTGATTTTTAACACAAAAATAAAAGGATATTCATAACCCTAATAAGCTATATATCTTCACTCTTTTAAATTTGTTTTATTGGGTAAGAAAAGTTGTTCAATTAGTCAGTAATTGGCTTTCGTTTTCACTCACCAAACCCTAATTGTCATGGATTAAATTATTAAATTTGGAAGTACGCAGAACATATATCATCGAGATAAATATCTACATCTTATCCTTTTTATGTTCTTGCTTCTTCTTTTTTTTTGGCATACACTAGCTAAAAGGTTAAGTTCAAGTTTTAATAGTTCGAATTTCAAAATGTATATTAGATTATATATAAGTTGATTTCTTATTTTTGTTTGGGTAATTAAGGCGTTATACTCTCCTTTTTTAAATTTTTTTTCTAAATACATCAAAGTCAAGAGTATGACGACATTTGAAGAACTCTTTCAAACCAAAATAATGAGACTTAGAATTTTAAAATTTTGATAGTAGAAATACATGAGTTCTTCCCAAACATCGCTCGAACCCAGGAAAGCACAATAAAAAGGACGTATCTATGCTACTAGACCAATCAATACTTGGTTCTATCTATAATTTCAATTGCAACTTAAAACCCATCTACAGACTGGCAAAACTAAGACAATTCAAAAAATGACAATAGCAATGAGCAATCTTTATTAATGTAAACTCCTCTTTGTGATATGATTTTTTCTTTTAAGTTAAGGCTTGTTCTTTCTCTCAAAACAACTTCAAGTATTTATAGATTAAAAAAGAGCATGTTCCGGAAATGGCACATGTGCATTTTAGAGTAGTAGTTACCGTTTGGAAGGTGTATCTAAGTTTGATTTCCTTTTTATTTGTTCATATATATAAAACTTCAGTATTGTCTCTTAAAGTTTGGTTTAATAGAGAAGTTGACCAAAAAAAAAAAAGGGACCGGAAGAAGAATATTAAGAATCAAAGTATATGATTAAACCTAACAAAGGGCAAAAATGATTAAATCCAATATATCAATGACAATTAAATGGTTCCTTTGACTTTTGTTAGACCATGTGGACAAATGCACACATACAAACATGTGTATATAAAAGTTTATATTATCGTCTTTAATTGGACGTGCGAATCGGTGGGTTAAGTTAATTATAAACTTGAGCATGAAAAGTTAACAATAATCTTTTCCCAGTTGTCCACAAAAAAAAAAAAATCGCATATGATGTCACAATAATATATACATTTCATTTTCTCCTACATTATAATATTTGTATTATAAGTATTTCACTCACTAAATTCATGTTAGCATATGAATGTGTATATAAAGAAACTATCGTGTACATTTGATAATTAATAAGAAAATCTGATTAATTTTTTTTTTTTTAAAACAACAACACTTGCGATATAAAAATTACATTTAAATATAACTAAGAGATATACACATTCTTACATATTTATTTACGTAGTGAACGAATACATGCGTCGTGATGTGCATAATCTACGTATGAATTCTTTAAACTAATTCGGGAGTGAGTGTGAATCTTTGAATGAATTGTGGATATGAAATAAAAGAGGTCGCTCCCTTTTCAAAGTTGCTACGAAAAAGATTGGCAATTTGATGGCTAACCCCCCTACATGCTGGTCCCATTTAATTTTGGACCTCGTCGCTTCTGCATTATTTTCAAAATAAATACAAAAAAATATACATACTTCAAAAATCCAATCCATATTCTCTCACAATTGTTTTTTAAACATATCAATAGAAAATTCACTACACGTTATTAATTGATGCAAAACTTTATAACTTGTAGGTACATGATCCAAAGCTGTATAATAGTATTATTGGATTACTTATGATTTTCTATAATATATTTTTGTTAATACAATACTATATATATATATATATATATTATTTCTCTCTATATGCATCATGCATGTGAAGAGAGTAAATATAAGTAGCTATAGGTCAAACTTAATTAATAAATCGAGCTAGAATTCCACGATCCCTCACTTAGTTAACAACTACGAGAAAATAGCCGCGGACCATATTGCATGATTAAATCCTCTTATTTGATTTATATTGTACACACATATAAGCACGTAACGTATTTTGTACGTTATACATTGGAAGAATAATATAATTAAAAAAAAATGAGGGAAAAAATGGACCATTATTTGGCCTCTTTATTTATTTTTCATCCCAAACGTGTGGGCAAAGTGTGGGACTAATTTGTAGACTTTTTATACTCTTCTCTTATTTGCTTGTTTTGGGCTTTACCTAAGCGCCGTTTTCGTTTACTCGATATCTTCCCCATTCCCAGTTTTAGTTTTTGTTTATGTTTGAAAGTATCCAATATTCAACTTATAATCTTTTTCAGTCCAAAAGCAGTCTAGATCTTCGGCATATATGTTCAAGTTTTGCGAATAATAGTTACTTCTATATGTCAAACAGTCAAAGAAAGAAAAGGTAGTTAGTTATAGATGTGTCATTTCGCCAAACTCTAATTGTAGCTCGTCTGGTATGTGAAGGCACTCTAAGTTTCTTACTCATGACGAGTTTTATGCTCGAGCAAGGTATTGAGAGAGAGAGAGAGAGAGCGAAAAACAAAATGACAAACTCCAAAAATTGGAAACTCAAGTTTTGCAAGAAGGAAACTCCAAAATTTTAGCAATCTGATGCAATTTTTGTTACAATGATAAATCTCACCTTTCTCAAGTTTATGTCGCCTTGTTTTTTTTTTTTCTTTTCTTGGCAAAGTAGTAAAGTATAGATTAAGCTTTTGTAAAACCTCAACATTCCTTCCTAATGATATTTACATATAAAAAAAGGTGTTGTAATTTATCAATAATTTTGCATCAGTATATCGTATTTGCTAAATGATATGAAAAAACGAAATTTTCATATCATTTCACTGCAATGTTTTTTCTGATCACTTCAAAAACGAAACCAAATTGCATTTATTATTTAAAATATATTTAAACTTATCATTGACTTGCTGATACGAAATCTTCTCACATGGAAAATTGCAAAGATCACGACTTGAAAGTTGAAATGTAGATGGATCATGGATGGATACTTAAAAACTTGAATGTAATGTTTTTTTCTTTTAAAGTTTGTATCCAAATGTTTTAATATATGCTCATATAGTCATATTATAAGTTTATGAATTATGAAATGTGGTTTCTCGCTTTCTTATATTTAATAGTACTAAGTGCGATTTTTTTCATATATAATAATTAAATAAAACCCTAAGGAAAAGGACCTTCCAGCTGTAGATTTCAGTGTCAACTGGAAACATGGCATCTTCTATATCATTGACCAAAGTTCTTTCCACATCTTCATTAAATTATTTTCCATATATTTTGATAGATTATGTCGACATTTAAATTAACATCCTCATAAGAATTGATTTTCTAATCACAAGAGACTGGTCGACGAGTAGAAACGTGTAACGAAAAAGAGACAAAAGTCAGTTATGTGTAATTATTTGAAAATTATATACATGTACAAGAATATTTTTTATAAATAAATAATGATTTTGATTTTGGAAAAATGTGATGTTGATTAAAAAGAAATGTATATATACGGTGTAGAATATTTCACTTATGTGTCAGCATTTAATACTCAACCAATAGAAAACAGTTAAATTCCTTAATTTTTTGTGACAATTTTATGCAAACGTACTAACTAAACGAATTTCAATGAGGATAACCAAAAAATTTGAAATTTCCTTCTGTTTCATTCTAAATGACTGATATATATATATATATATATATATATGAAGAAAAATTTGCACAACTAACCAAATATTTCAGATGATTGACAACGTTTCAACAACAGGTTTTGTCCCTCCAATATTTGACAATCCCTGACTCAATGGTTTCTCTTTTTGAAATCAAAAATCGTTTTAGTAAGTCTAGTTGTATTAATGCTCAAAGAAAAAAGTTTTATCCAGATTAAACAATCAAGGAGCAAAAATTTCAGCGCCACAAAATATAGTAGCCTTTAGGAGTTAGGACGGTCCAAATATACTATTTATTTTTCTTGAATTGAAAAATATCCTTAGCTAAAATGTTGATCTGTGACTAAAGCTATTGTATGTCAATTTCCAATCAAAAGATTTTTTTCTCTCGGGTTTGTATCTTGAACAAAACGAAATCCAAAATGCTACTTAACAAATAACAAGTTCTTTTTTGAAATCAACTATTTATATGATATTATTTTTCCAAACTAAACCTGTAAAATTATAATTATATGCATTTAATGTGAAAAATACGTAATAACATGATAAACTATTGTGAACATCTACCCATACCCAAATCTAAAACTCTGTATAGTACTGAGTACTGACTACTGAACAGTGAACAAGTTTATAAAATTTTATGTTTGTAATTATAAAACGAATCAATAAAGATATCAAATCTGAATCTCAAATAAGTAACCAAATCATAATATCTATATAAATATACTTTAATGACCTTGCACGACGGTCTTCTCTGAGCTCGTTGACGATGACAGATTAAGAAAATTTGATTATTAGTAGTTTTTAAGTTTTAAAAACTATGCTATAAAATGTAGTATTAACTAAAAAAAAAAAAAGAAAAAACTATTTTTCGTAAGGAAAAAGGCAAAATAAATGACGGGTTTAAGACTTTGGTAGTTAGCTCCGGTTTCAATGAATGGTCCAAGTTGGAGAGATTAGGTACTTTTTCTTCCTTTTGTGGGTCCCACTCTCTTTTAACGTTTCTTCACCGTCCGATAGTGCCACCGTTATGCCGTGCCGTCAACTCCGTTGACTTCAAGACAACGCTTCTCGTCGTCTTCTCCGTCAACTTTCTTACTAACGGCCACTTAACGGAAATCCGTCATTGTTAACAATTAATTAATTACGCTCGACATTATCGCCGATTTACACGTCACTCTTTCCATCTTACCCTTTAACTATTTGACACGTGTACATTTCTGACGCTATATATCGAGGAATAAATCAATCTCAAAGGCATTTATTCTGGCTGCATATATAATTTTCTAACAGTTCTAAACAAAATTAGAAAGAAAACAAAATAACAAACAATAAAGACATATAATATTGAGATCAAATCTGACATTTAAGAACCACTCAAGATCTTCCTATATTAAAAGGTAAAAGAAAGAGTCAGACTGATACTTATCACAAATAATTTTCAACAGATCATATAAACATAAATATCAAATGTTTGACAGCAAAACAAAATTTATCAAATATAAATTGAAAATACAACGCTGTAAAATTTCATTTTATGTTTGACATAAGAATTGACTAAATAAAATTCGCATTTTCGCATAATTTACGTGATTAGTGTAAACCAAATCATTATGCAATTTCGGAAATTACCAACCAAGTAATATAAAATTGAACCCAAGAGTTGCTTGGTCATTTATGTATGTGTAACATTTGACAAAAGAGTGATTTCTCGTTGAAAATGGAAACCTTTAGCTAAGACTTTACACAACTTATCCTCATAAATTTAGTCTTTATATATAGGGACCTTCTTTTTTTTTTTTTCTTCTCTCTATCTCTCTTTGTCTGCAAATGGAAGAACATATTCAAGATCGCCGTGAAATTGCGTTCCTACACTCCGGTGAATTTCTCCAGGGAGATTCCGACTCAAAGGATCATCAACCAAACGAGTCTCCGGATGAGGAACATCATCACGAGCAGTCTATCAAAGAAGTTGATTTCTTCGCAGCCAAAAGTCACCGGAGCGATCTTGGTCATGTGAGAGCGACGTCGATCATTGGATCATCTGGTTTTAATGTAAGTTTTTAGATTATAGATATGAATAAATATATGTTTGGACGTTATAACTTAATTACATAAAATTCCATGGCATAAGGATGGATTAGGTTTGGTAAATTCATGCAATGGAACATCAAGCGATGATGGCGATGACAAAACCAAAACCAAAACCCAAGTAAGTATTTATGAATTGTTAATTTCTTGTCCTTCAATAGAATTTCAGTGTTTTTTCTTTGGTTAACATACTTTCAGTGTTTGTATTAAGAACAATTCACTTATTATATCCAAACTATTTGTATTTGTTAACAAAAAAAAATCAGATAAGTAAATTTTGTTGTGGACACACACAATTGATTATCCTATCATATGAGTTTATATTTCTAAATGCGCTTTTGCATTTATGTATATACACATATTTTTTTTGGGTCATCTTTTAGTTCCGTATATAAAACTGTAGGTTGTTTATTGAATGAATTGTTTGGTTTATACTTTTATAGTTGCGGTTATGATTAATATACAATTTGCAGATTAGTAGACTGAAATTGGAGCTAGAGAGGCTTCACGAGGAAAATCACAAGCTGAAGCATTTATTAGATGAGGTCAGTGAGAGTTACAACGACCTCCAAAGAAGAGTTTTGTTGGCAAGACAAACACAAGTGGAAGGTCTTCATAAACAACATGAGGTACTTGATAAAATCATAATAATAATAATAATAATAATAATAATAATAATAATACGTGGAGGATTTATCCGGTTAAAAATTTTTTATTTTACGATTCGTTTTATTTTCTCGAAAGCAATTAAAAATTTATAACTATATTTTTCTCGGAAAGCAATTAAATTTTAAGACTATGTGCAATATGCTTAAATAATGGATGTAGTTTAGTTATGTAATGTATTCAAAATTTCCATCTTAAATGCCCAGATTAAAAGTCATAAGGAAGATAAATACGTGCAGCTTTGATTTGATAAACTACTAGATCATGACCCCGCACATAATATTTTTTAAAATGTTCTAACAAATGTTAATTCAATATAGATTATTTCGTTGTTTATATGATATATATTTTAGTGTATTAGATCTGGATTCACACGTACGTGCAGAGATATTTTTATAGAAATTGTTATATAGATTTTAAAAATATAAAATATTTTGTTGTGTTAGTGAACTTTATAATAGACTAATAGTATAAATATTATAAAATTAGAGTAATGAACGAAATTCAGTTGCGTTAGTGCATAGTTATATTTTAAGATCCGGACCTACACGTACGTGTGAAATTATATTTAAGATAAAACTAAGATATAATTTAGTTGCAAAAGTTAAATAATGTTACTTTTTTATTTTCTAAACTAATCAAAACATTTCTAATAGTTTGATTACATGTGTTAAATAGGATATAGATTCGGTTTGAGTTTGGTTATTTCATGTATATTAGCTAGGCGTAACTATTTTAGAACGGGAAACCTATCCCGTCCTGTATCTGTCATAAATTCTTGGTCTCATAACCCGTCTCGTATATGTGAAATAAAAATATGACGGTCCAGTATTCGGCATAAATAGAATATGTGTAACTGAAAATGTACGTACAGGGTTATGTATGTAAACAAATTTATTTTATATAGTGCTCATAACCTGAACTCATACCAATTGGGTATTTAGTTTGATTTTTAATTTATGTTCCCCTCTCATCCCGTCTCGTAATTCCTATTCTCATTTCAAACCATTAAAATCATGTTCCATATTCTTGTTTGCTTACTTTTAAATACCATACAATACGTACGGTGAGTTTTACAGATTAATATATTTGCTGCTAAAGTTACAAATATATTGTAACAAATTTATTAATGTTTCTTTCCTTAGCTAAATTTTGCATATTCTTCTTTTTATTGTTTAATCATAATTAATTTGATTTTTGGACTAAAAATAAAAATTTGAGATACATTTCTAAAAGGGATATGCTATTGCTGCATAATTTGTTTTGAATTCAAAATATATAATTAGTTTACATTATTTGAAAACTGTGTGCAATATATTAGGAATTTATTTAAGGAAGATCCGGTTGAAAAACAAAAAATAAAACGCAAAATAATTTAGAAATTAATATATACAATCTACTGTTAGATATTTATCAAACTTGCTCTAAACGAAGGCTATAATGATAATTACTTTAAATTTATTATTATTTGAGTTTATTTCATCATAAATATAAATAGTTGTTGATATCTAATATCGTATTTTAAAAATTGTGAAATAAAATTTTGTTTTATATTTTAAAATTTGTGAAAATATTATAACAAAACTGAATCTTAAAATATTTGTATTTAATTTTCTTACGAAATTTTAAATTTATTCTTAAAGTCCTCCATTGATAAATCTTTTAAACGATAGTGTTTTTAATTTTGAATTAAAATGATATTATTTTTCTTTTTATTTTTGATATAGAATAGTCTATTACGATTGGTTTAGATAAAATCTTAAATGGATATCAAATCTTAGTTTTTCAATTCTTATTGGTTAACAATTTTTTAAAAATTAATTTCAAATTTTCGTTTATAATTAATAAGAGAGAGAAAATTAGTTTATTTTTTTGGAAATTAATAATTATTTAAAAGAATTAAACTATTTTTTATTTAAATATATTAATTTTGTGATTACTATTATACCCTTAATGAAGTTATTTGAAAACACTAAAAACTAATGGCATTTTTTGTAATATTTTACTCTTCATAAAGTTATATAATATTTAGTGATTCCCAATTAATAATATAGATGAAGAAGAAGAAATAAATAGCCAATGACTCGGTCAAGAAAAAATTGTTTCACAACTTAATATTAAATGGAGAATTAAGTTTTGGATTTTCTGAGATATTTCAAACTAAAAAAACCTGTATTCTTTTAGAAGCTACAAACAAGAACTTCCCTATTTGTTTATAGTTAGGTATGTTCCTGTATATGCATCATATTTTTTTTGTCGACAATCTGTATATGCATCATCATATGATTCTTTTTCTTAGATTTTTAATATTTTAATACGTCCATAGGTAAAATCATACGTGGTAGGTTATCAAATGTCTAGTATATATACGTGTGTGTATGTTTTAATGTGTTATCTTGTCTTTGCATCGATCGGTACTATGCGTTGATCAGATTAATTAATTAATTAACGATACTACGGTATTGTTTGGGTGAATTTCCGCTCAACGTCTTTTCACTTCAATTTTCATAAGAAACTAAGACATCTTTCTTACAAATTTTTGTTTGGCAAAAAGGTTATACCCCAAGCTGGTTCCTCACAAGCTCTGGAGGACACAAGACCAATGGATATGAACAATGAAACTCCGGCCACCACCTTGAAACGACGGACTCCGGACGATGTGGATGATCGTGATATGCACCGAGGATCACCAAAAACTCCAAAATTAGACCAAAACAAGAGTACTAATCATGAAGAACAACAAAACCCTCATGATCAGTTACCCTTTAGAAAAGCTAGGGTTTCCGTTAGAGCTAGATCTGATGCCACTACGGTAACTTTCTATATTTACCAATTTTTTGATTTTTTCTTTTCATATATATATATATAGTCATGAAAATTGAATCAAAATTATTATTTAATAGGTAAATGACGGATGTCAGTGGAGAAAATACGGTCAGAAAATGGCAAAAGGGAATCCATGTCCTCGAGCTTACTATCGTTGCACTATGGCTGTTGGATGTCCTGTCCGTAAACAGGTTAGAATTAAGTTTTGACTACACCCTTATAAGATAATGTGAGAATTTAAGAAATAATTCCGATTTATAAACAAAATTCATTTGCTTCGAAAATATTATTATACGTAATAAAATTAAGTTAATTATTTGTGAATTGTAAATGAATTTATAGAGAATATGATAATTTGAATAAGTAATATTTTCAAATGATGTTTTTTTTTTACATATATGATTGTATTGATTTATTAGTATTGAAAAAAAGTGTTGTTTTTCTTGGGTCAACTACATGCACTATAGGAGTTTGACTTCAAATGCTAACAAAGTGACGCTAAAACTAATGACAAGGTTACTAGTTGATTTATAATTATTGATTAGTGTGACATATAATTAAAGAATACCCAAATGTTTTACGTAACAAAATGATGATCCAAATGTTTTATGTAAATAGGTCCAACGATGCGCCGAGGATACAACTATCTTGACCACAACGTACGAAGGAAACCATAACCATCCTCTTCCACCGTCAGCCACCGCCATGGCTGCAACCACTTCCGCTGCAGCCGCCATGCTCTTATCTGGCTCCACCACCAGCAACCTCCATCAAACACTCTCTAGCCCCTCCGCCACGTCATCATCTTCCTTCTACCATAACTTCCCATACACTTCCACAATTGCCACACTCTCCGCCTCAGCTCCATTCCCCACCATAACTTTAGACCTCACCAACCCGCCTCGACCGCTACAACCGCCACAACAGTTTCTGAGCCAGTATGGTCCCGCCGCGTTTTTACCAAACGCTAATCAAATTAGGTCTATGAATATTAATAACCAGCAGTTATTAATACCTAATTTGTTTGGCCCACAAGCCCCACCACGTGAAATGGTCGATTCAGTTAGGGCTGCGATTGCAATGGATCCGAATTTCACGGCGGCCCTTGCGGCGGCGATCTCAAACATTATCGGAGGAGGTAATAACGACAATAATAATAATAATGATATTAATAATAATAAGGTTGATGCGAAAAGTGGAGGGAGTAGTAACGGAGATTCGCCACAGCTTCCTCAGTCTTGCACCACTTTCTCTACAAACTAATTTAGTACCATTATATTATTATATGTTATCTTATATATTATTATTACACACATATATTATATATTATATATATGTATCGTCAGTTTTTTGGTGTACATTATATATGAACGATATGGAGGGAGGGAGAGAGGGAGAGCTCTTATAGGTTTTTTTTACAGGACTCGATTTTGGCTCTATTGTTTTTTTCATGTTAAAAGAACGAGGGGTGTATGTTTTTATCTTCCTAGTTCTTATGAATCACACTCTGTATATGTATATATTTTAAAAATAATAATCTTACCTATATTATGTTTAAAAAGAATATGCATGTATTAATATATTACATTGTAACTATAATACGAGTAACAATTTTGTTATATCAACTGAATAAGATATCCTGAGAGGTATTAAATATAATAACCAATGGTACTAACGACGACAAGGATCAATACTGTATATGTTTTATTGTTCGTTATGCAGTTTTTCATGACCATAACAATAATTAAATTTTGTGCGATCTTGGAGTTGTTAGCTCAAATGATATATATAAGCAAAAAAATTGTAGTGACTGACGACTAAAAATCTTATTTGGTGAATTTTTTTTATATTATTTTAAATTTTAAATTAGCGATGAATCACTGAAATTTGTTGTCATCAGTACCCCTAATGACTATAAACAAACACAGGTAAATCGCTATAACATATCACTTAGTAACTTACGACTACTAAACAAAACTAGATTAGTCATTGATCGAAGTTTCTGTTGTCAATGATCACTAAATAAAAATATGATTTTTAGTCGTTGATAGTTGTTGGCTTGTTGCCAATGATTACAAAACGAACACGGTAAGACCATCTGCATTGGGGGATCACCCCCCTGATCTAAGCATTATTTAAATCCAAAAAAATGGGTTAATGGGCTTAAGATCAGGAACTGGGCTCTTGACCTGGATCTGTTCTTGTGGGTGTTGCGGGGTGACGTGGCATTTGGGCATTGGTTGGAATATTCAACATATTTGGAATAAATTTGGATAATAAACTATGTATTAATTAGATAAAATATTTTTGTGCTTTTATTAAGTAATATGTTTGTTTGTTTATTGTTATTTATATTTTTAATGTTTTTTTCATAAATATTTAGTATTGTATTTTCACTTTTATTTTCAGTTTTTCATAAATTTGGCATTTGCAATTTATATGTTATTTTTAAATGTTTTAATAATTGTAAAATCTTAATTTAATTTAGATTATTATATTATTAAGTCTTAAGATCTTACACATGTTCTCCCACTAATCAAATTCTAAACAAAAGATCTAAACACATGATCTTATATTATTTTAACATTATATTCTCTATAAGAACACCCTCACATGATCCCCCATTGATGATGCCCTAACACGTATAATGTGTATATATTTGACATCTACAACAAGAAAAGCGGCCCATAAAATGCAAAGGAGGCCACTTCAGGCCCAATATCGTTTTAAAACATAAATGGGCCAATTAAAATCAGTCACGTTAAAAGAGCTCAAGAGTCGTCCGATGTGTAAAGTAGATCCGAGCGTTACTTCAAAATTTGAAAACCCGACCGTTGGAGTCTCTTTCTTCCTGTAATACAAACAAAAATAAAAACCAAAACAACAAAAAAAGAAGAAAGTAAAACACAAACATTCATTATTAATTATTAATCCCTTTGAATAAAAACCAAAGTAGTCTTTGTCTCCGTAATTTTCCGAAGCTGAGAGGAGTAGCCATGGACTCATGAAGATATTCTGATTGATTTATAAGAGATTTGTTCGATCTGAAAAATCAAAACTTTTTAAGAGTTACAATGACGAGACGACGCCATGGCTGGCAACGACCATTACACCCATTACAGGTTTCAAAATCATAAACCCATCAATTTCTTCAGCTTCTTTTTTCAGAAAGTTTCTTACTTTATTTGCAAATCTTGAGAATCTCTCAGTTTTGGGTTGATCTATCGATTTCTGTGTTTAGTGAGCTGAATCAGTGTGTTGATCCAGGTTTAGAAAGTTTCTTGATTTTCTTGATTAGCTAGTGTAAGCTGTGTAATTGGGAAAAACTACTTTATGGATTTTTGATTCTCCTTAAAAATCTTGACTTTTGATTAAATCTGTAGCAGATTCTCTTCTTTTGAATTTGGTTACTAAAATTGAGCTGTGTTACCGCTTTGTGCAGATTGTGGGAGCTGTTATATATAGTGTTCTGGTGGCAGCCTTTTATGTCTTCCTCGGGTTTTTCCTGGGGAATCGAATAGCTAATATCTCGCTTCTTTCGGTTTACTCGTTTGTGGTAAGTAAGCTTAAGAAGTTGTATTTGTTTAACTTCTCTTCTTGTAATAGAATCTTGAAGAGCCCTGTGGTGAGTTTTTTTATTGAGAATTTTCCTTTTTCAGGCGGTTTCGGTTATAGTTTTGTTCGTTAGGTGTACTGCGATTGATCCAACGGATAAGACTAGTGCTAAGAAAAAGAGAAAGGATAAATCCAAAGGGGTCTTGATGAAGCTGAGAGTCAAAGTTGTCTTGAGTCAAGTTGTTGTGAGGTTTTTCAGGAGGTTAGAGAGAAAGATCTTAAGAAATTTTCTCAGACGTACGTATTTGGATCCATGGAAAAGCAGTGTGCAGCTAGAACCACTCCTTCCATTTCCACTTGTTATGAAAGATGATAATTCTGTTACACCAGATCCTAAAGTAGAAGATGATATCTCTTATTGTTCACTTTGTGATTTAGAGGTTTGTCACTAGTATCACATTATCAATCACTTTTTTCATGAAAGCTAGGACTTAAATTGACGTTTCTTTGTTTGTTTTGTTTAGGTTAAACGCAGCAGTAAGCATTGCAGGACATGTAACCGGTGTGTCGAAGGGTTTGATCACCATTGCAGGGTAAGGTTTTGGGGTTTTGCTGAATCTTACAGTTTCTGTAACTGTTGTCTTGGATCTAGATACATAAGTTTTCTCTGTGGGTATGTGGTGTATTCAGTGGCTTAATAACTGCGTTGGGAAAAAGAATTACACGACGTTCATACTCCTGATGGTTTTCGTCTTGCTCATGGTGTGTATTTCTCTCTTAAAACATAAACCTGAAAAGTTCTGGTTCATTGAAATGATGATATAGACTGGCGTTTCTTGCAACAGCTAATAATAGAAGGTGGAACAGCCATTGCTGTATTTGTCAGATGTTTTGTGGACAAGAAAGGAATGGAAATCGAATTGAAGAGAAGGCTTTATGTAGAGTTCCCTCAATGGGCTCTTGCTACAATATCTGTATAATTTCCTATACATATGCTGCTTCCTCATGACATCTAATGTAGCTTCTTTTTGCTTATAAGTTTATAATGTGTACTCTTACAGATTATCTTGGTCTTGTTCACGGCCTATGGCTCAGCCGCCATGGGGCAGCTTTTCCTCTTCCATGTAGTTCTCATAAGAAAGGTAACTCTTACAGCAGAATTAATTTGATTTAGAGTTCTTTATTTGACAAGTAGTGCTCAAATATTTGCAGGGGATGAGAACATATGACTATATATTAGCAATGAAGGAGGAGAATCAATTTGCAGAAGTGGATCCTTTTGATGAATTAGATTCATCTTCAGATGAAAGCTCAGATTTTGATTCGCCTGAAAGATCAAGACCAACGTTTATCTCCAAGTTTATGTGCAGAAAATCAAATGAGGTGATTCTATTATTCAACTTCTCTTTTCTCCAAGTTGTCACTCTCAAGAATTCTCAAAGATTTTGTTATGTTTTAACAGAATCAGCATAGACTATCGATAAAAATAGAAGGAGATGAACGTTCACCTTCTTCCACGGTGATCAACAAGAAACCGGGTTTTCATGTAAGCATAAACCCATGGAAACTGATAACATTAAGCAGTGAAAAGGCTCTACAAGCAGCTGAGAAAGCAAAGGAAAGACTGAGGAAGGCGAAACCAGTTTCCGGGACTGAAGAAGATTCACTTAAGCCACTTCCATTAGAGACGAAATTCGGACTTTTGTTAGATCCAGATGACAACAACACTGTGTTGCCACCATCAACAACTACAGCAGTAAAGCTTCAGGTTTCACCAGGAAGATTCTCAAGTCCAAGAAGAAGGTTCTCAGGCTCTTCATCTTCAACTGTGCCATCACCGAAGCAAAAATACAGGAGTAACTTTGACTTGAAGCTAACTGAAGTCTCTAGGGAGCTCGAAAGTTACATCTCAAGACAGGTTTTGTGTTCTGTGATAAAACAAGATGGAAGTGAAGCATCACCAAGATAAAAAAAAAAAAAAACTGTTTCATTTTTGGGTGTTGTTCTTCAATTCAGTTACTTATTTTCTGGTTGTTTGTTCTCAGTCTCTGAGAAATATTTAAGATCTGCTTAAACTTTTGCCTCCTCTTGTTCAACTTTATACAGAGTATATATATAAATATGTTCATCATGAGATGTCAAAATGTGAATATAAATTAATATTTGAAAAGTAAGACATAACACTCTACTAATGAACGAATAAAGAAACGAATGGAATTTTAAACTACACGTTTCCTAATGTAGCCATAAACTTAGCATCTTCGTCTGTTGTGTTTTGTACAAGTAATAGACTAGCAATCTCTGGATCCATCTCTTCTATCAATTCGTTGTGAGTAGTGGCTTGTTCACAAGGTTGCTGCTGTTCTGTGGTTTGATTCATAGTCATCACCGGAACATTGTCTTGTTCCTCAAGTTGTAGTTGAGAAGCCAAGTTTCCAACCACATTGTCTTGTTGTTGAGTCTCCATAGGAACCACTGAAAGATCATTGTTCTGATGATATGGCTGACAATAATGCGGTTCGTCTACGGCTTCATTCATCAAAACTTGTTCCGGCTTCATTGTTCTGATCATTTTTATTTTTGGTCTCCACGTTAAATAATAATGAATTTATAGTTATTTAAAAGCATTTATTACAAAGTACGACGATGGGCTCTGTATTTGGTTTGGAAATTGAAGATGGTTTAGATTTCTTTTTCTGGCTTTAATCTCTAAACCTCTACCAAAAGATATTTTTAATACAATATTCATTCAAAAGAATATATATATATATAAACGCATTTTAAATACAATATTCATTCAAAACGCATCTTTTCGAAGAAATTAAACCACTCTTGAGTGAAATTTATACATTTGTAATATATATATATATTACAGTAATTTCCATGGAAGCACCTCAAAAGCTGAGTCCTTTTTATTTTTAGGGCCCTTGAAAATGGAAGTAATCATCAAGATTTGGGTCCCCTGATACAGAACGGGTACAATTATAATTTATTTCCAACGCCAAAACACTGTTCTTCGTTCTTCGTTGTAGGCTTGTAGCTATGGAATCTTTTTTTGAAAGTACCCTACCATCATGCCATGCATTTAGAATAGATACACAAAATCTTGCTTCTTTATTCATCACATCAAACTTTTTATTGAGAAAAAAGGAACATGCGAGGAAAAGTCTTACAAATTCGATGGAAACGTACGCCATTAAACGACTTCAACGCTCAGTCAAGAGTTCTCTTATAAAACCTTGCATATATATTACAGAGGCAGAGGCAAAATCTCAAAGCACAATGAAGTTCTTGGGAGAGACATTAGTGCAAGTTTCGTTGTTGGCTCTTCTATTTGTTGCTGGTGGTTCTACGGCGGCGTGGCAACCAACTCTTGACTGCCTTGAAGTTTATGATTTATAAAAATAAAGAAAAAGGTAGAAAATCAATCATTGTGGAATAAATAACAAAGGTAGAACATAAATCTTCTAGGAACAGAGGGAGGGAGTATTTTTTTTTCAACAAGTGGCTCGTTATTGTACAGTAATAGGCCTGAGAATTTGAACTGAACCGATTTGTCCTAACCGAACCGAACCGAGGTTTGGGCAAATCCGTTCGGTTCAACTTAATTGAGTTAAACCGATAACCGAAAAACAAAAACCCTAACCTAATATTAACCCTAGCCGCTCTTCTTCTTCGTTTAGAGCTTTCTATTCTTCTTCTTCTTTCTCTTTTTAGATAGTTTCATCAATCATCAATCATTCATCATCATCATAATCTTCTTCTTCTTCAACTTCTCCTTCTTCTTATGCTTCTTCTTCGATCTATTACCAACATCTTTTTCTTCTTCTTCGATTAATCAACAACAGCTTCTCTTCTTCTTCGATTCATCACCAACAGCTTATCATCATCATCATCTTCTTCTTCGCCTTTCAGATCTGTACGCCCGCTCCGCCTTTCAGAACTCGCCGCCGGTGTCTCCATTCGTCGGCCGTTGGTTGCTTCGTGGAAGACAAAAGCTTCTCTCTCTTTTTTTTTTTTTTTTGTTTTGTTTCCAATTAAGATAAGCCCAGTTAGTTCAAAAAAGAAAAGACAAAGCCCACTTTTAAAAACAGTTTTGGCCCAAAACGATTGAACCGAATAACCGAATTACAAAACCCGAAATAACCGTGTCCGAACCGAACCAAACCGAAATCTTAGTCAGTTAGTTTCGGAACAGCTTTTAAATTCCGAAATAACCGAGAAACCGAACCCGAATAAACCGACCGGTTCGAATTCCCAGGCCTATACAATAATATGATTAGTTCCAGTGTCACTACGACACTACTCACCACTAGCATCGTGGAAATTAACTGAGAGAAGACTTTTTTTGTGAGAGAGAAATAAACGTGAAAGGAGCTTTAGCTTTGAGATTTCAGATCCAACCTTTTTCTTATTCCAAATTAAATCTTGTGTTATACGACCATGGATTCCGAGGGAGTGTTAATTCCGTTGATCCACGAGCATCTTGTGATGCCTTGGAATAATCTGAGAAGAGGTGATTGCTGTGGACGTTTTGAAGCTATCAGTGATGGCTACTATTGCAAAACCTGCGATTTTTTCTTCCACAAGAAATGTGCCCATGAGTCCTCCGAATATATCGAGCATCCATCTCACCCAAATCACACTCTTCAGCTACTAAGTCTAAGTACTATAGGACGTAGTAATCGCTGCGATTTATGTGGAAGGTTTATCGCGGATCCAGTATTCTATCGTTGTGAGATCTGCGACTTCGACGTGGATCGGTACTGTGCCAAGTACCCACCACCAGAGGTTATTGACATTTCCGAGACGCATCACCACAAGCTCATCCTTCTCAAAGAGAAGATCGAGTTCAACTGTGATGCTAAATGTGGGGAGATTGGTGATGGGTTTCCTTACAAATGTCTTGAATGTGATCTATCCTTCCATGTGGATTGCGTATGGCATCCGCCAGAGGTAAATCACCCTTTAGAGGTAAACCACTCTTACCACCCCTGGCACCCTCTTAAGCTCCACACAGGCCAACCACCGGACTATTCTGACGGAACATGTCGTCTTTGCGCAAGTAAGATTGATTATAGCTTTTTTTATCATTGTTCTTCTTGCAACTTCACCTTGGATATGCCTTGTGTTCTACATCCACCACTACAATCTCTTCTGAATTTGAAAGCTCATGACCATCAACTCACCCTTCTCCCAAGACTCCGTTCTTTTACATGTAACGCTTGCGGGTTGAGTGGCGATCGAAGCCCTTACATATGTGTTCAATGTGACTTTATGATCCATCAAGACTGTCTTAACCTTCCACGTGTCATTAACATTAATCGCCATGATCACCGCGTTTCTCGAACTTCTGTTCTTGGTGTTGTCAATTCTGTATGTGGAGTTTGTCGCCAAAAGGTGGATTGGACTTGTGGAGGTTTTTCTTGTCAAAGGTGTCCTGGCTATGTTGTTCATTCGAAATGTGCTACTAGAGAAGATGTGTGGAACGGGAAAGAACTCGAAGGAGTACCTGAAGAAACAGAAGATATAGAGCCATATGTCGTAATAGATGACAACACAATACAACATTTCAGCCATAAAGAGCATTACCTAAGACTCCACGTTAATGGTGTTCTTTGTGACGACAACAAGCGGTGCAAGGCATGCACCTATCCCATATGTCTCCAATCCTTTTACGGCTGTTTGGATTGTGACTTCATTCTCCACCAAAACTGCGCTGGGTTTCTTAGAATGAAATGGCATGTGCTACACAATGAACGTCTTACTCTAGTTACAAACAAGGCTGAAGTCTTCGAGTGTTATGCTTGTAGTAGGATTTCCAATGGTTTCAGATACCAGCATGAGGATACGACATTTGATGTTCAGTGCGGTTCAGTTTCGGAGCCATTTTTCCATCCAAGTCATCCCAATCATCCTTTATATAACATTTCACTAATTGGAGAGTTTGAGATTTGCAATGGCTGCAAGAAGCACCGTTATGATGTGCTAAGATGCATTGAAGATGATTGTAATTTTTTCTTGTGCTTCAAATGCGCCACTCTACCACAAGTGGTAAAGCATAGAGTTGACAATCACCCTCTCTCACTATGCTATGGCGAAAAGGCTAGTGGTAAATACTGGTGTGACATTTGTGAAAAAGAAACCAATCCAGAGACATGGTTCTACACGTGTGAAGACCACCGGGCTAGTTTACATACAAAGTGTGTCCTCGGAAAATTTTCAGGGCTCATGCCAAAAAGCACAATAGAATATAATGACAATTCATATGAGGTGGTGCTCAATAATAGTATATCTCGTCCATTTTGCAGCGGGTGTGAGTTGCGTTGCATTTTTCCTATCATCTTGAAGATACTTGGATCCTCAGATATATACTTTTGCTCTCTTTTTTGCTCTATGCGTCTGAAGCAATATGTCTAGCGAATGGGGATTTCTTTTAGATTTCTTGTACCATTTTTACAAGTTCATTTCCATTATAATAAGTTGATTTCCTTATTGTATTATTTATATAAGAATCTTGCACTCTTAGTTTGATATGATCTAGTTGTTTCAAACGTGTTATGCCTTTCGTTTTCTGCAAAATCTCACCTTGAAAATGAAGAACACAATACTATCAGTCTTGTCTGTTCATAAGGTATATTAGGTGGTTATATTGTGCATAAATGAAGACGGATATTGCTTTGGTATATTAGATTTATGCATAAATCTAGCTGTATTAGGTTATATTGTGCTTCCATTAATCAGTGCAAAACGGCTTTTGACTTTTCAGATATTGGTTTCAGTAGCATTCTTGTAGACTTTGAGAAGTTAAAAGAGCTCAAGAAGAGTCGTCCGATGAGTAAAGTACTTCAAAATTTGAAAACCCGACCGTTGGTCTCTCTCTATCTTCCTCTAATACAAACAAAATAACAAAACCAAAACAACAAAGAAAAAGAAGAAAGTAAACACAAAGATTCATTATTAATTATTAATCCCTTTGAATAAAAACCAAACTAGTCTTTGTCTCCGTAATTTTTGAAGCTGAGAGGAGTAGCCATGGACTCATGAAGATATTCTGAGTGATTTATTAGAGATTTGTTCGATCTGAAAAATCAAAACTTTTTAGAGTTACAATGACGAGACGACGCCATGGCTGGCAACGACCATTACACCCATTACAGGTTTCAAAATCATAACCCATCTATTTCTTCAGCTTCTTTTTTGGAGAAAGTTTCTTACTTTATGTGCCAATTTTCCGGTATTTGTAAAGTTTGTGTGTTGAGAATCTCTCAGTTTTGGGTTGATTTATCGATTTCTGTTTTTAGTGAGCTGAATCAGTGTGTTGATCTATATATTTCCAGGTGTAGATAGTTTCTTGATTTTCTTGATTAGCTAGTGTAAGAGCAGGATTATTGGTAGTATCTTAGAAATAAATCTTAGGAATATTTAAGTAATATATTTGTAAAAGTGATAGTTAAGATATAGTATTTTTGGGTTAAGATTTTTGTGTGATTAATGGTAGGTTCTTAACATGTGGTTCTTAGAAAAAAAATATTAATACAAAAATAAAATTTATAATTATAGAAAATTTAATAATTGTTGCAAATTAAAAAAATCAAAACATACATGAGATACAATTTATAACATAAATAACATAAAGCACAAATGTTTTAAACTTAATTTCTGGAATATTTTGTCCATATATGCTCGACCAAATCCTTCTTCAATTGTAGATGCATACCTTTATCACGAATTCGAGTTCTAGTGGCCATCATATCGAAGAAATTTGAAGGCATATCTGTAGAATATGTGAAATCCACCCGTGAACTTCCTGCAGATTCCGCTTGTTCGAATTCGGTAGTATCAAACAGAGTATACCCATCTCGTTCGTCTTCTACTATCATATTGTGAAGTATTATACATGCTCGCATAATATTTCCTATTTTTACCTTATCCCAAATAAGAGCCGGATTTTTGACAATGGCAAAGCGAGCTTGCAAAACTCCAAAAGCACGCTCGACATCTTTACGACAAGCTTCTTGATGGGTTGCAAATAAAGATGCTTTATCAGTTTGTGGAAGTGAAATAGATTGGATAAAGGTAGCCCATTTAGGATAAATGCCATCCGTGAGATAGTAACCCAAATGATACTCGTTCCCGTTGACTGTATAATTCACTGCTGGTGCTCGCCCTTTTAAGATGTCATCAAAAACCGGAGAGCGATCTAGAATATTGATATCGTTTAAAGTACCTGGAGGTCCAAAAAATGCATGCCATATCCAAAGATCTTGGGAAGCTACAGCCTCTAAAACGATCGTTGGTTTTCCAGAGGCACGTGTATATTGTCCTTTCCAAGAGGTAGGGCAATTCTTCCACTCCCAATGCATACAATCAATGCTTCCCATCATCCCGGGAAATCCTCGAATCTCTCCAATAAGGAGTAGTCGTTGAAGATCTTCTGCAGTGGGTTGTCGTAGGTACTCATCTCCAAAGCAATCAATAATTCCGTCAACAAAATGTTCCATGCACTTCATCGAAGTGGTTGCACCAATCCGAAGGTATTCGTCAACCGCATCAGCCGCTAAACCATATGCAAGCATACGAATTGCTGCTGTACACTTTTGTAGTGTAGAAAAACCGTATCTTCCTGTAGCATCTCTTTTTTGTTGAAAGAATGGAATTGTGGAGAGTCGATCAACAACACGCATGAATAATGGCTTGTTCATTCTAAAACGGCGTCTGAATAGATTAGGAGGGAAAGTTGGATTTTCTGCGAAATAATCGTTCCATAACTGGATGTGTCCTTCTTCTCGATTTCTTTCAATATGGACTCGTTTTTTTCTCGGTTTTGCGGCTTGTGGACGATCACCGTAAGAATACAAAGAATTATCTATCTCTTGCTGTAAAATATTACTAAATTCTTCGTCCAACGTTTCTTCTAAATTGTCATGGGAAGATGATGCCATTTACAATGTAGAATTGTTTTGGATTTTTTTGAGTAAAAATAGAAGCCTTGGCGTAGAAAAGAAATTGGAGATTTTAGTTGTAGAAAAGAAAAAGAAGCCTTGGAGATTTTTGTTGCAAGTAACTGTTTTTAGAGTAGAAAAGAAATAGAAGCAAAGTAAGAGGGAAAGAGTCTGGACAATTGATATTACAAAGTGATATTACATGGTCATATTTATAGTGGACTACACAAAACATATACATGGTTAAGAAGCAAAGTGAAACATGTGGTTACAATGAATACTTGTGTCCGTGAACAAACAGAGAGGACTTGTGGTAAAAAGCAAACTAAAACATGTGGTTAGAATCAAGACTTGTAGTGTCCGTGTACTTGTAGGAATCTTGTCCTCTTCAACATGTCCCCTTCTTGTCAACTTGTCTTTTTGCTTCACGTGTTGCTAGTGAAGCAACTTGTCTATCCTGCACAAAAACACAAACAAACAAAGACAGCCTTGCTCAACTTGACAACTTGTCAACTTGTTCTTAACAAGTGAATGAACTTGCTGGAATGGTTACAAAACTCAAGCTCTAGTGTTTCTGAAGACATAAAAAGCAATGTTCAAAACCTTTTGAAACTTGGTTCTGCTATGGAAAGAAATAAACATGTAGCTTACCATCACTTGTTTCTCCTGCACTTCAACTCTGGCTGCAATAAACATGTAGCTTACCATCACTTTGTTCATGGCAAATTCTCCAATAAACCTCATCAAAAACAGTAGAAAGGATCAAAGTAATGAAAACAGAGAACACTTATCAAAAACAGACACATTTATCTATTTCAAGCAAAACTCATTCAAACAGACCAAACCAATCAACTGATTCTGTTTTGCCAAAATTAAACAAACACAAGTTCATTCAAACATTGATTCATTCGTTAGAAAACTGAGACTTAACTTATGAAAAAAGACTGATTCATACAAACACAAATTCATACAACAGAAAGACAAACTTATGACAGAAGAAAACAAAAGAAAGCCGAACTTATGATACATGAAACAAAAGAAATCCTTCAAGCATTTGACAACATGTCATTTATGAGCTTGTCTTTTAAGGCAATTTCTGTGACACTAAGCTCTGTTTTTGCAAGTAGACTCTCAAGCATACCATGCTTGCTCTGTTTCTCTTTACACTCAAAGTTCTTTTTTGAGATCTCCCATATGCCCTGCAACCTAGAGAGACCATTGCCTTCTTCTCCCACAGTATTTTTTGCTTTCGCCTTTGCAGCCTTAACACCAATAGGACGATGCATTGCTTCCTCTACTCCATGGGACAGTGGCTGACAGCTTGAAGGCTCAACAGACTCCTTAGTCTTTCTTCTTTTTGACTTTCCAGTCGGTTTAGTAGTAGGAGCTGAACACCATTTTTGATCATGGCGAAGCTCTCTCCAAGCATGCTCAAGATTGAATTTCCCATCATAGTCGTTGGTGAAGATTTGGTGAGCCAGTTTCATCACATCATCATCATTCTGGCCACTTGATTGTTGTTTTAACGCAGCCTCATAACTCCCTACAAACTTGCATACACCATCATTGATCTTAGCCCACCTCTGCTTTATGTGATCTGGCTCTCTTCTTTCCACACCTTTCAGATTTGGACTTGCATCATAATAGTTAGCAATGCGTGACCAAAAAGCATTACCCTTTTGTTCATTGCCTATTACTGGATCCTTACTTGTGTTGAGCCAAGCACTGATGAGCACCACATCTTCTGTGGGAGACCATTTCCTTCTCCCTCTTTTCACCTTGGGTTTGTGTGCAGCTTGGCTTGGAGAGTCAGCTTGGCTTGGAAAGACATGGACATCATCATACGGATTGGCTTCTAGATTGTGAACCTCTTGTTGACTAGTTAAGAGGTTCACAAAGCCTGATCCATGACTATATGGATATGAATCCATAGCCTAGTTCTCTGGTTGGTGTTGAAAGGAAGCAGGATAGAAAAAAAAGAAGTGTTTTTGGTGTGTGTAAATCAGTATTAAGTTAGAGAAGAAGAGGTTCATATATAACAAGAGAAACGCTTGGTTTGTGTTAAGTGTGACACTAAATTCTTTACCTAATCAAATAAAACACAGAGGCTATAGGCATTGATAACAAAGATTTGTTGTTGAGTAGGCAGGGCATTATTAAAACAGAGTAGCGGTGTGTGTTTAAGTGTGACAGAACATAATGAGAGATAGTGTGTTTATGTTTTTATTAAAAGAGAAGAAATCAATAAGACAAGAAGTGTGACAGATTAGAAATAAATTAGACAATAAGTGTTAGGTGTTTTAAGTGTGACACAACAAGCAATCAATACCAACTACCAAGCATTGAGTAAACACAAAGACATCAATAAAGACAATCAAATCAAATTAAAGCATTTCAAGCTTAAACTTTAAAGACAAAGAAAATGTGCTACATATGCTTCTATTAGCATTGGCTCATGTTATTTGTGCGATAGATTAGGTATTCTACTTGAGCAGAGATCACCAAATAAACGCTTGGAAAAACACAAATCAACAATGCAAAGTACTTACATGTATCAAAGGAGAGAAGACAGCAAAATCTTAGAGACCCTCATTCATAACTCCAAAAGATGTGGTTTCCACTTCAACTTATGTTGCTACGTTGACCAGTGAGTTGAAATTCTCCTTCAAAGTACAAATTTCAATTAGGCAATGACATAATATTACAACTAAAATGATATATGGTCATAGTATAAAAATATGTTTTTATCTGAACCTTTTCTAACCAATTTCTTAAATTTATGAAGCACAAAGGCATTTCTTTTCCAGGTGGCTGGACAGAACAACAAATCACAATCAGTTAAGAACCCTAACATCATAGAATACTAATTTTGCTACTAATTTCTCTCCCAATTGTGAAAACCCTAATTTTCTACACATCCATAAACCCTAATTTACGATGAACTAATGAAATCAGAGAAATTACAGAGATTCGTACCCTTTCTCATGTAGATCATGATACAGACGGATCAAAAACGCAATCCCCACTCATTTCTCCTCTTAGTTCGACGGATGAAGACGAGTCGGCTCGATTTCTCCGGCGGAAGCTTCGAGAATTGCAGGGATAGAGAGACGCCACCGAGAAGCTCTGATTACGTGAGATGAAACACGCAATTCCATCTCATTTCTCCTCTCAATTCGTCGGATCAACAGCCTCAGAGCAGGATTTCGCCGTTTTGGTTTCGAGGAAAAGAGAGAGAGAGAAAGGTCGAGAGAGAAATAAACAAACGAGAGGTTTTTTTTTTTGGCTTTGTTGTTTCTTCAAATTAATCAGAGCAGGACACGTGCTCATATCTAAACTCATCAACAACATCTTATATAAGATATACATCTTAGCATTTGTTTGATCTATTCATTAAATTTAATAATTTTTTCTCCTAAGATATGTCTAAGATACTGCCGTTATTCATGCTCTAAGCTGTGAAATTGGGAGAAACTACTTTATAGTTTATAGATTTCTGATTCTCCTTCAAAAATCTTGACTTTTGATTAAATCTGTAGCAAATTCTCTTCTTTTGATTTTGGTTACTAAAAATTGAGCTGGGTACTGCTTTGTGCAGATTGTGGGAGCTGTTATATAAAGATGGGCTCTGTATTTGATTTGGAAATTGAAGATGGTTTAGATTTCTTTTTCAGGCTTTAATCTCTAAACCTTTACCAAAAGATATTTTTAATACAATATTCATTCAAAAGAATATATATATATAAACGCATTTTAAATACAATATTCATTCAAAACGCATCTTTTCGAAGGAATTAAACCACTCTTGAGTGAAATTTATACATTTGTAATATATATATATTACAGTAATTTCCATGGAAGCACCTCAAAAGCTGAGCCCTTTTTATTTTTAGGGCCCTTGAAAATGGAAGTAATCATCAAGATTTGGGTCCCCTGATACAGAACGGGTACAATTATAATTTATTTCCAACGCCAAAACACTGTTCTTCGTCGTAGGCTTGTAGCTATGGAATCTTTTTATGAAAGTACCCTACCATCATGCTATGCATTTAGATACACAAAATCTTGCTTCTTTATTCATCACATCAAACTTTTTATTGAGAAAAAAGGAACATGCGAGGAAAAGTCTTACAAATTCGATGGAAACGTACGCCATTAAACGACTTCAACGCTCAGCCTAAGAGTTCTCTTATAAAACCTTGCATATATATTACAGAGACAGAGGCAAAATCTCAAAGTACAATGAAGTTCTTGGGAGAGACATTAGCGCAAGTTTCGTTGTTGGCTCTTCTATTTGTTGCTGGTGGTTCTACGGCGGCGTGGCAACCAACTCTTGACTGCCAAACAAAATGTGGCAACCTCACAATCGAGTATCCTTTTGGCACTTCTCCAGGTTGTTACCACGATGAAAGCTTTCTCATCACTTGTAACCAGACAGAGACAGAGCAAAAACCATTCTTGAGAAAAGGCAACATTGAAGTTATCAACATTTCTCTCAACGGGGAGCTACGCATCTTGATGAATAGTTCCCGTGCTTGCTACAACAAGACGGGAACACTTATCGACTATCAAGACCATTATATTCAACTCACTCATTTTGCCCTCTCCATCAAGAACATGATTACTGCCGTAGGCTGCGATTCTTATGTCTATCTGAACAAGATGGGAGTAAGAGATTCCTCAACTGGATGCTTGTCAGTTTGCAACTCCACTCCACCAAATGATGGATTGTGTTCTGGTGATGGTTGCTGCCAGACCCCTATCCCTATTGGAACTAGCTACTTCGCGGTAAAACCATACAGCTTTAATAATCACACCGATGTATTTCAATTTAATCCTTGCAGCTATGCTTTTCTTGTTGAAGATGGTTCTTTCAACTTCTCTGCCTCTAAAGATCTTGTAAACTTGCGGAACACTACAAGATTCCCTGTGGTAGTAGATTGGTCCATTGGTGACCGGAAATGTGACCAAATTGAAAACAATAATAGCTCATGCAGAGAGAACAGCATTTGTGTCAATTCTACTAGTGGATCTGGTTATACCTGCGAATGTAAAAAGGGCTTTGAAGGGAATCCTTATCTTGGCTGCCAAGGTTCTCTCATATCTTACCTTTCTTACATTATTTGCTAGTGTGGCATATTAAACTCACTGTCTTTTCATTTTTCTTGTGCCTTTATTGCTCTCTCTTTCTTCTTTGTATTTTGCCAGACATCGATGAGTGTAGCAAGGATAAACATACATGTGCCACGCAAGAAATATGTCACAACAATATTGGATCTTTTCATTGCAAGAAGAGACAAGAATTGAGTATAATTGTTCTTGGTAAGTTGTTGGCATTATGTTTTCCAATTATGTCGGCTAATGTTTTAACTGCGAGGCTCATATCCTAACCACATATAAAAATTAACTATAACCAGGAAGCATCATTGTATTCTTGATCTTCCTACTTGGTGTATGTGGTCTAAAGCTAAAACTTGAAAGCCAAAAGCACACAAAACTTAGAGAGAAACACTTCGAGCGAAACGGTGGCATCATGTTAAGACAGCTACTCTCGGCAGACTCATCAAATGAAATCAAGATCTTCACTGAGGAAGAAATCAAGATAGCAACAAATGGTTATCATGAGAGCAGAATGCTAGGCAAGGGAGGCCAAGGAATAGTGTACAAAGGGATATTGTCAGACAACTCTGAAGTTGCCATAAAAAAGTCTCTTCCACGAATCGGTGATCCAAGTAATGCCGCTCATCAACAAATTGGTACTCAAGTAGCGGAGTTCATCAACGAAGTGATCATCCTTTCACGAATCACTGATACAAAAGTAGTGAAGCTCATTGGTTGCTGTCTAGAGACTGAAGTTCCCTTTCTGGTCTATGAGTTTGTGTCCGGTGGCACCCTCTCAGACAACTTGCATGGTTCTAAATCTGGTTTTTTTCTTCAATGGAAGGATCGGTTGAGGATAGCAACTGAGATCGCTACAACTTTAGCATCACTTCACTCAGCTCAAGTCCCAATAATTCACCGTGATGTCAAGCCCACTAATATCTTATTGGATGAAGAACTCTCTGTAAAAGTAGCTGATTTTGGGGCTTCCAGGTTGGTTCCAGCAAACAAAGAACAACTAACAACACTAGTACTAGGTACTTTCGGTTACCTGGATCCAGAATACATGCACACAAGAACCTTCAGCGAAAAGAGTGATGTTTATAGCTTTGGGGTAGTCCTTATGGAACTGGTTTCAGGTGAAAAGGCATTGTGTTTTAACCGGCCACAGAACGAAGAAAACTTGGTTATTCGCCTAAATTCAGCTCTGAAAGAGAATCGGTTAGATGAAGTTATCGACAAAACAATGGTGAATGGAGTGAATCACATGGAGATTCAGAAAGCAGCCTTGTTGGCGGTTAGGTGCACAGCAGTGAAGGGAGAGGAGAGGCCAAAAATGAAAGAAGTAGCTGCTGAACTTGTTGGTTTGGGAGCTCCGGCGACAAGAAGGTTTGTTCGATCAGTATCCGGATTTTAAATCGAAGGGAGTAAATGACATTTCCTTCATGAAAGCTGCAGCATCAATCTATCTACATCTTGTGTTTTGGTTCTCTTCTTGTATTTTTTTACTTGCTATCGTTGGTTATCTTCTTTGTGATGCTTGAACTATTATGTTGCCATGACCACTAATTAACCTGCAATAGAATATCATCGATTTGCTAGAGCTCTCACTAATGAAATATGCATACGAATACTTCCTAATTTATGATTGAGGAAATAGTTTAGGATTTCCCATTTTCTTATTTACTTTTCCGAGAGTATTTTACTTTACGTTTTATTATAAATATGGGTTAGGTTTTGTTTGTGAAACCTATCTAAGCAATTGAGAGCTTTGGAGGATTCTATCGGGTTAGGCCGAGGGAAGAGAACGTAGTTCTCTTTGGGGGGAGTTTATATATACTCTTGTTACTTTATTGTTCTATCTTTCTATTATCATCATAAAGGTTTTGGTTTGAATTTGGATTCTATCTCTACCAATTGGTCTGACCCAACGACGAACGCCTAAAGAATGACAAAGACAAGACAAGAAGAAGGCTTGGAAGAGTTAGAGAAGAATCAAAAGATTATGAATACAAAAATTGATGGGCTGAGCTCTAAAGTGGATGGTAGTCATGCAATTCTTGAGAAACTTTTGATGGCTTCTGCTGAAAAGAATTCAGTTACAGAGCTGCCTTACGACCCTAGAACATCATTTGCGACCAAAAGTAACGCTACGGAGCAGCAAGATTCAGCTGAAACTTCTCGCGATCACAACCCATGTGCTGTGAAACTAATCGAGATGCCGAGCTTCAGTGGTGATGATTCGCAAAATATTTTCTCATGATAAAAAGAGTTCGTAGATATTGGTTCGTTTAATAAGACCAAAAAATAGTTGTAAGACTTTCATATGATTTGTCTTTGTAAGACTGAATTGATTTGTTGATTTGTCTTTTTTTTGGACTGAATCTTAATGTGGGGTCTTAGGAGTAATGCTGACGAATCCTCCACTTCATATGGACTTGGGATTGAAACTTTCTTCGTTCATTGGATTTTTGTTGAAATAAATAAAAAAAACTCCCACTTGCCCTATTTTTTTTTTTTCGTCTAAAGATTTATTTATTCATAAAAGGCAACCGAGAGTTATACAAATCCGACAAGGAACAAGATCCTTTCGGAGACAAAGCCGGCAGGTACAAGAAAACCCCCAGAAACTTAAGACCCAAAAGGGTAAGCAAACAAAGCTGGCGGTTACAAGGAAACCCCAGAAACTTAAGACCCAACAGGGTTACCATACAATAAGAAAAGACTTAGATAAATGCTAACCAATAACCGCTAAAAACTCCAAAGCAACAAAACTACAACACGTCCTCACAAGCCACCGCCAAGCATTCCATAGAACAGTTTGGTGCTATAGAAGGATTACTGACAGGAACCTCGAAAAGAACCCAAAATTAGATTGCCTCCAGGGAAACTGAGGGCCCGAGAAGGGGACTAATACGAGCTCACACAATCACAACCACAGCAGAAACGAAGACGGAGAGACAAGAAGAAATAGATCGCAGAACCAAACCGCTACAACCGCTCGAAGACCCAATGAACACAATAAAGAGGAGGATCAAGGAGAAGCCTTGAGATTCGAGAGGGGAAAACGCCAAAGAGGACCTAAAATCCTTACCCACAGACATTCGTAGACCCAGCCAAAACCACCCACAGGCTAAGGACTGGTTACGCCACGCAAAGAGCAGGACAAGAGATCGAGCTCACCACAAAGTCTAGAACCCAAATCTGAAACCAAACGAGGTCCCAAAATGAGCTAGTAGGTGCCATTATAGGGAGCTGCCATCCAAATGAAGAACCCACAACAAGAAACCTTTCACCAACCGAGCACACCAAAATCAAGAGGAGGTCACATACAGAGGCAGAGCTTAGAGATAATAACGCCTACCCAAAAGCAGAAACTAAGGATCTAACCACAACAACTCGAAAAGGAAGCAACAAGAACCCTAGAAGACAATCAACTCCAACCAACCGAGGAAGAAACCGAAACCGAAAATTAACAACCTGAAGGCACAGACGATGGAGGCCGTTGCCACAAAACCAAAGGGATCTTCAAAAATCAGGCCGAGGAAATGAAAGCTGGCTAAATACTCACCTCTCTCGAAACAGCACCACCGCGAAGCCAACCATAAACCAAGACCAAAACTCTTCAAATCCACCTCGGAAACAGCCGGAACACACGAAAAACCAGCATCAGCTCCCAATCCAACAAGAACAGAGCCAAAGAAACCAGATTGGCGAGTTAAAGAGCCAAAACGGGAAATCAACCTCCAAGAGCAAACCGGAGATCAAAAACGGAGCCACCGGGGAACAGATCCATTTAGGAACACCACTGATCCACCAACAATCCACCGAGATAGTCTCCACGCTGAGTAGAAACACCAACACCAGGGAAAGGGGAAGGAGAGAAGACGAATCGACTAGGGAAATCAACGCCATAAAGGGAAACAACAACATCTACACAACGAAGAAGCTACCAGAAGGGGGACCGACGACTGTGCTGTGGAAGCCACCAGCCGCCGGACAACGAAGAAGATGGTGAGCTTGACGGCTAGGGCGAACTTTGGGGTAGAGAGGAAAAAAAATTCGACTCCCACTTGCCCTATAAAACCGGAAAAGATTCAAATCAAGATTTATATACTTATAAAATTCGAATTCATTTGATTAGTTTGAAACAACATGTGATCATACACACTGGGATCCGGAAATTATTGATGATTTAGAAATATTTTTTGATTAATAAAATTTTTATAAAGTAATGAAGACGTTCATAACCTGTATTATAAAAAGTCAACATCACTTAAAGTAAAAACGTAACAGTGTGTTGACTTTTTGATATATTTTTCCTCTTTCGAATCGAATCCAAACTTGTTAATTGTCGATTCTTAAACTGCACAGATTTCAGTTCCGGGGTAAAGTGAGATATCCATTGCTTTAATTAAGTTCATGAGATTTAGCTGAAAATGAAAATGGCCGGATTCGTTAAGTTTCATGAGCTTTCAACTTAAAACCAACCAACAATGAGCAAATTGAATAATGTTCTTTATATATCACTTTTGGTACCATCACACATTCGTGGGACTTTTAACAGGTTTTCATCGTACTTAAATTTTGGGTATTCGTTGATTAGCTCTAACTGCCGGCCCAAGTATTTTTGTTGCCTAAAGTCAAAATGTATCTGGCCCATTAACAAAAAGATGTTGGAAGAAAAAAAATACAAATTCTAATAAGAATAAGACTTGAACTTGGCACAAGAAAGAAGACGGTTACAACATTAATCATTAGACCACCAACATTTTTCAAAAATTATGCCCCATATTTTATTAATATAATCTAATGCCTAAAGCCCTAGCTTCACCAATTTTAGCTCCGGGCGGGGCTGCCTCTAACCGGTGAACTCTGATCATAAGTTTGTGTAGTCCTTAAGGTTTCGGTTTTGATCTGTTTTTAGTAAATCCATGGTTGATCTTACAAATAACAAAAAATAGCCAACTTGTGGACGTAGTAGTAGCATCCAACTTTATAAATTCCCTCTCATCGTTTAAAACTAATCAAAATTATTAATCATGCATAAAATTGTAAATCAAATTTTTAAGTTTAGTTCCAATACAAATTTTGAATTTTTGGCAGAAAAAAACTTAATTTTGTTGAGTTGACTCCACATTCTTATTCAAACAAAAAATTCACATGAATTTTTCTTGCTTTTAAGTTATCTTAAAATCATTGAAAGTAATACTCCAAGTTGACCATTTATACTTTTGCGTCAAAATTGGCTTCATTGTGCAAGTTGTGATCTTAGTAGCTGATTGGGATTGGCAACTTCTGACTTATTAACCATGATTTATTATCAAAATAAAAGTGTAAAGTAATGAAGAAGTTCACGATAGGTATTATATAAGTTTAAAAAATTTCGTGTGTTACTTAAAGTGCCAGGAAGAAATTTTGACTTTTGTGTTATATATGTCCACATCTTTGAATCCGATCCAAGCTTGTGAAAGTTTCTCTGCAAATCTTGTTGCTCTGCTGCTACAACAATGGCGCAGAAACAACAGATCCTTCACCAACAACGACCATTCTCTTCCTCTCCTCGTTCTTATTCTTCAATCTCAAACCGTCCCATCTTTCTCCTTAGCCGCAACGGTCTCCTCCTTCTCCTTCTCGCTCTCTTCCTTCTCCTTGGTGTATTCTTACCCTGGCCAGGATCTCCTTTATTGCTATTACCAAACAGAGTCTCTTCTCCTTCTTATGCTACTTCTTTGTCTCCACAAGCCAAATCTGAATGGCGCGACTATACCCTTGCTCAGGCCGCTAAGTTCGTGGCCAAGAACGGCACTGTGATCGTCTGCGCCGTGAGCTCACCATTCTTGCCTTTTCTTAACAACTGGTTGATTAGTGTTTCTAGACAGAAGCATCAAGAAAAAGTCCTTGTGATCGCTGAGGATTACATTACTCTGTATAAAGTCAACGAAAAGTGGCCTGGCCATGCCGTTCTTATTCCTCCTGCACTCGATTCTAGAACCGCATACAGTTTCGGTTCCCAGGTAAAGTTTTCACCTTTGAGATATCTTTAGCTTTCAGTTCATGAGATCTAGCTGGAACTGGCTTATAGACTCGCAATGAGTAGATTGGCTCATGTGACTTCCATATATTACTCTAGATCCCATCACATTTCCGTTATGGGATTCTTAACCAGGTCTTCATCAGACTTAGATCTTGGATGTTCTTGATTAGCTCTGAGTGATTACTGCGATCATAAGTTTGAGTAGTCCCTAAGGTTTCGGTTTTGAGATGTGTTTACTATTAGATTATGAGTTTCCAAGTTCCAACTCAAAACCTATTAGCAATGAATGGATTGGTCCGTATCCTTTATATTATGATCCTTTCCCAACTTCCGATGTGGGACATAATTCCCAATATATAGTACATCCATGGTTGATCCTATAAAAAAAACAAAAGATGGTCAACTTGTGGATGAAGTAGCAGCCACTTTTCTTTTGGTTCTTGATCGAATTCGAATGATTATGTATCCCCTGTTTCTCTGTGTGATGAAAGCATATCTTTTTCCTGATTTATTTATCATATCCGATTAGGGTTTCTTCAATTTCACAGCTCGAAGGCCGCAACATCTCTTGCAAATTTTGGAGCTAGGTTACAATGTTATGTACAACGATGTTGATATGGTTTGGTTGCAAGATCCGTTTCAGTATTTGGAGGGAAGCCACGACGCGTACTTCACGGATGATATGCCTCAAGTATGTGCATTCTTCACACATCTTTGGAAAATTTGGAGTGATTTATTTTATCTTATTCTCGGTTGGTTTTTGTGCCAGATTAAGCCTTTGAATCACTCTCATGATTTACCAGATCCGGATCAAAACGGAGAGACTTATATATGTAGCTGCATGATTTACTTGCGTCCCACTGATGGTGCAAAGCTTCTAATGAAGAAATGGAGTGAGGAACTTCAATCCCAAGCTTGGTCTGAGTCCATCCGTTTTAAAGCTAATGATCAGCCTGCTTTTAACTTGGCACTTAACAAAACAGCTCATCAAGTATGTTTTTGTTTCCTCCAAGTTCCATTTCTTCCATATCCACTTACGAATGTTGGATTTATGGTTTTTCTTTTGTTTTGCAGGTGGATCTCTACTTGCTCTCGCAAGTAGCTTTCCCAACAGGAGGATTGTACTTCAGTAACGAGAGATGGGTTAAAGAGACAAAGGGGAAACATGTCATAATCCACAATAACTACATTATCGGTTACGATAACAAAATGAGACGTTTCCATGACTATGGTCTATGGCTAGTCGATGATCATGCTCTTGAGTCTCCATTAGGGAAATTACAGTAAATTCGTATCACGGAAACAATTGTTCATCTTTCATTCTCTCTTTTCTTCTTGTTGTTTGAATATTTTAGGCTGCGTATAAAGAAAGATAGTTCCACTGAGTAAACTCCTTACGTTTTTGAGGGTCTTTAAAAGGTATATGTAAGTGTTGTTATATAGCTAATTCAGTATGACTTGAGTTTGGTTAATCCAGTTGTGTAATGCTAGTAGAAACAGAGGAAAACAGGGGAAATACAGAGATTAATCAGATATTTTGGTGGCAGGCAAATTTTGGTCTGTATGTTCTAAACAAATGAGATTCGAGATGTATTTTTTTTTTTGACATCATTCAAATCATAAATACATTAGTTGACTATAATTATATGGTAACATAGATATACAATGACAACATGACAAGCACTAAATGACAACATGACAAGCACATGATGATAACAAATTAGACTTTTATTTGTTTATTGTTCTCGGATTTAGAGTTTAAATTTTAGTAAACATCACAAAAACAAAGATGCAAATTAATGATTAGTTATATTGTCACTATCATACAACCATAAAATTAAAATATAACGATTAATTTTATAAGAGCATCGATCGTTGAGATTAACGAGAGACGACTTTTGAGCTTTGAGATAGAAAGAAACGTGAAAGGAGCATAGCTTTGAGATTTCAGAGAAGACATTTTTCTTCTTCTTCTTCTTCTACACTTCTTTTTCTAAACCCAAAATGAAGCAAGATCGATGTCTAGCGAGTTGATTTCCTTAATGTGTTACTTATCTAAGAATCTAGCCATTTTTCAGACGTGTTCTGCCTTTCATTTTCTACAAAATCTCACCTTGAAAATGAAGAACACAATACTATCAGCTGGAGCAATAAATAGGAGACAAAGAATTACTGACAACACTAGTACTAGGCACTTTCAGTTAGTTGGATCAAGAATACTTATACACAAGAACCTTCAGAGAAATGAGTGTTGTTTATAGTTTTGGGGTAGTCCTTATGGAACTGGTTTCAGGTGAAAAGACATTGTGTTTTGACCAGCCACAGAGCGAAGAATATTTGGTTATTCGCCTAAAATATGCTCTGAAAGAGAATCGGTTATATGAAGTTATTAATAAAAGGGTGGTGAATGCTGCGAATCACATGAAGATTCAGAAAGCAACCTTGTTGGCGGTTAGGTGCACATCACTGAAGGCAGAGGAGAGGCCAAAAATGAAAGAAGTAGCAGCTGAACTTGAAGGTCTGAGAGCTCCGGCGAAAAAAAGTTTTGTTCGATCAGTATCCGAATTTTAAATCAAAGGGAGTAAATGACATTTCCTTGATGAAAGCTGGAGCAGCAATCTATCTATATATTATGTTTTGGTTCTCTTCTCGTTTTTTTTTCTTGCTATCTTTTGGTTGTCTTTGTGATATTCTTGACTAGTATGTTGCCATGACCACTAATTAACTTCCAATAGAATCTCGTCAACTGTCTAGAGCTCTCACCAATGAAATTTTTAAGAAAAGAGGAATATGTGAGACGTTCATTGATAAGGAAACTTTATTAACTTGACGAGACAAAGGCTTTTATACTAAGATACATCTTTCAAAACACAATTCACTTCATTTGTGGAGAAAGGAATAGCAAACGATACGGCGAAGAACCATTTCCAAATGAGAAGTTAGTAAGAATGATTGATAAAAACATTTGGATCTTGTTTACCACAATTAGGAGTGGAGAAGATTTAAAGTATGCAAGAGGCATTCAAGATTGGTTTGCATTAAGACAAAAATGAAGGACAATTCTGTTTTCAATTGTGTTTTTTTTAAAACAATATGCATTAATTTGTAAACAAGTTGTTTTTTTCTTTGAATATAATTTAATATTAAATATTAAATTCAGAAAAAGAAGTTTATTATATATCAGCATCGCAGGTTAGATCAATTTTAAGTTTGGATCCATTTCAAGTTTTGAATTTTTGGTAGGAAAACTTAATTTCGTTGATTTTGGTCAATGTTTGAATTTCTTTCTTTTTCTTTCTTGTTTAAGGCAATGTTTGAATTTTCTGATAAATATCCAACATGAGTTCATTAATGTACGGGTTAAGTCATCTTAAAATCATTAATAGAGAAATTTGACCAAAAAGAATATACATATTGTATTGACCATTTATATTTTGCATGAGAAATGGCTTCGTCATCATGGAACAACATGTAATAAATTATTAAGAAATCATACAAACTGGGATCGGCAATTATTGATAATTTACTAAAATATATTTGGTTAATAAAATGATTATGAAGTAATAAAGCTAGACGTTCTTACCTGTATAAATATATAAACTCAACAACACTTAAAGTGATCACGTGAATAAATTAACTTAACAGTGCGTTGACTTTTTTGATATAGTTAACTTGTTTAATTAAGAAAGAAACCTCGATTTTTCAAACCGCACATGTAATTTCAGTTTCTTCAGCTACACGAAATAAAACTGTCAAGTACTCCCTCCGTTTTATAAAATAAGATAAAATATTTTCCTCGTTAAAAACTTTTCTTTTAAATATTTCTACATCTTTAAAATCTTGTGAAAGTTTCTCTGCAAATTTTGTTACTCTGCTGCTACAACAATGAAACAGAAACAACATATTCTTAACGAAAGCCCATTCTCTTCCTCTCCTGGTTCTTATTCTTCAATCTCAGACCGTCCCATCTCTGTCCTTAACCGCAACAGTCTCCTCCTACTCCTTCTCGCTCTCTTCTTTCTCCTCGGTGTATTCTTACCCTGGCCAGGATCTCCCTTATTCCTGTTTCCAAACAGACTTTCTTCTTTTTCTTCTTTGTCACCGTCTCGGCAGTCCAAATGGCATGACTATACCCTTGCTCAGGCCGCTAAGTTCGTGGCCAAGAACGGCACTGTGATCGTCTGCGCCGTGAGCTCACCATTCTTGCCTTTTCTCAACAACTGGTTGATTAGTGTTTCTAGACAAAAGCATCAAGACAAAGTCCTCGTGATCGCTGAGGATTACGCTACTCTGTATAAAGTTAACGAGAAGTGGCCTGGCCATGCCGTTCTTATTCCTCCGGCGCTCGATTCTAAAACTGCATACAGTTTCGGTTCCCAGGTAAAGTTTTCAAGTTTGAGATATCTTTAGCTTTTCAGTTCATGAGATGATCTAGCTGGAAATGGCTTTTGTTAACCGATCGGCAATGAGTAGATTGACTCATGTTCTTGGATCTCGGATCATAAGTTTGAGTAGTCCCTAAGGTTTCGGTTTTGAGATGTGTTTAGAGTACATAATGGTTGATCTATAAAAAGACAAAAGATGGTCAACTTGTGGATGTATAGTAGCAGCCATTTTTCTTTCAGATCTTGACCGAATTCGAATTATTATGTATCCCCTATTTCTGTATGTGATGGTATGTTTTTACTAATTTATTTACCTTATCCGATTAGGGTTTCTTCAATTTCACAGCTCGAAGGCCGCAACATCTCTTGCAAATATTGGAGCTAGGTTACAGTGTTATGTACAACGATGTTGATATGGTTTGGTTGCAAGATCCGTTTCCGTATTTGGAGGGAAGCCATGACGTGTACTTCACGGATGACATGCCTCAAGTATGTGAATTCTTCACATATCTTTGGAAATTTTAGAGTGTTTTATTCATCTCTTATTCTCGGGTTGATTTTGGTGCCAGATTAAGCCTTTGAATCACTCTCATGATTTACCACATCCGGATCGAAACGGAGAGACTTATATATGTAGCTGCATGATTTACTTGCGTTCCACTAACGGTGCAAAGCTTCTAATGAAGAAATGGAGTGAGGAACTTCAATCCCAAGCTTGGTCTGAGTCCACCCGTTTTAAAGCAAATGATCAGCCTGCTTTTAACTTGGCACTTAACAAATTAGCTCATCAAGTATGTTTTTGCTTCCTCCAATTCCATTGCTTCAATATCCACGCGTAAAATCCTCTAATCTACTTATGAATGTTAGACTGTGATCTCTTTGGTAATTTTTACTTGTTTTGTGATCTTTTGTTCTGCAGGTGGATCTCTACTTGCTTTCTCAACCAGCTTTTCCAACAGGAGGATTGTACTTCAAAAACGAGACATGGGTTCAAGAGACAAAGGGCAAACATGTTATAGTCCACAATAACTACATTGTCGGTTACGACAGGAAAATGAAACGTTTCCAAGAATATGGTCTATGGCTTGTCGATGATCATGCTCTCGAGTCTCCATTAGGGAAATTACAGTAAATTCGAATCGCAGAAAAATTTATTCGTCTTTTTTTTTTTGATGATAAAGGTTCTTCTATTAAAATGCAAGAGTATTGGTACAAGAAGCAAATGGAGAACAACATTTATATGAGCATAATTATTTGACACTCTCTCGCTTCTTGTTATTTGAGAAGTAGATACTTATAGGAGGTATATATAATTTGAAGAGGAGACATATTTTAAAAATAATTTGGAGAAGACATTTTTCTCTTTCTTTGCTAATAGAGCTCTCTAATAGAAAGCTTTTTGTGTAATGACATACTTGCCATTTTTTGTTGTTTTGCAAATATACTTTCCGAAAGATTGGGTCTAATGAAAACCAACTAATTATCAAATTATTTGTGTCTATTTGGGCCAACAAACAACACAGTGTACATGACATAAAAGAGGACTGACTAAACCTAAATATAACGGATAAAACACATGTTAAATCATGAAAAATCCATAAAATTTTAGTTAAACTGACAAAATCTACAAATATTACTTAAAAAGAATGAAAAATTCGTACTAATTCGAAAAACAGAAATACAAATATTTTCGTGGCAGGCAAATTTTGGTCCGTATGTAGTAAACAAATGAGATTCGAGATATATTTTTTTGACATCATTCATATCATAAATACATTAGTTGACTATAATTATATGGGAACATAGATGTACAATGAAAACGTGACAAGCACTACTTAAATCGAACAAGCAAGCACATGACAGACTCATACGATAACAAATTAGACTTTTATTTGTTTATTGTTCCATGATTTAGGCTTAAGTAAACATCACAAAAACAAAGATCCAAAGATGTAAATCGTTCAGGTTTTGCGGGGTATAGCAGAGAAACCGGAGGCGGCTCTTAAGAAATTATTCTTGTTATTGAATTTCAGGTCTAAAAAATCTCATGTATATACATGTCCATAAAGCAATAATACTAAAACTAAGAGTATGTAGAATCCAATACATTCTACAAAATGAAATAACACAACTTTTGGTGAGGTTGGTTAAGGAACTTTGTCTATCTTATAATAGATCCATCAATTCAACACCATTTTTGATGGCTTGAAGAATTAGATCATGGACAATAAGTGAATTGACCTAATTCATCTAAAGTTTTAAAAACAATTAAGGACAAGAAACTAGTAAAAATCATAGCAGAAATACCTACACATAGGCCTAACGTATTATCGATTTATTTGGGGATTCCATCCGAATCGATAGAAGTGCAAGTCGATCTTTTTTCTAGTTCTTTTTTTTTGAACAAAAGTAACAGACTTTGGCAAGGAAAAAAAAAAAGACTAGACTTTGAGTTTGACTTTAAGATACTACGAATACGATACATGTCTACATTCGTTTTCGGTAATTACGGAAAAGACCTTTGTCTACCTAAAAAAAAATCTTCGAAGTGGGTTCTGTCGAACAGTTGGTGTGCATAACCACTAAAAGATCGATGAGAGGCGTCACACCCATAAACCCTCAGAAGAAGATAGAAGCTGATTTGAATCCCGTCAAAGAATCAGAGTAAGCTTACCTAATTAAAACTCTCTTTTTCTCTAAGTCTGTTTCTGAAGTTTCTGAGGATTTCGATTTCTCTGGTTCGTATTGTAGTTGCTATGAAGGCGAACGTCTTACTCATCTACTCGACTTGATTCAGAGGTAAACACTCTCTAAACCCTATAAAAACCCATCACAAATATCGACTTTTTGTTATAAGTTCTCTCTTTTTGGTGAATTAGAGGAATTGAGACGTCCAAGCTTTCGAATGTGAACTCATTGCCTGAGAAGATATGGCTCAAGGTTACTACTCTTGCTATGGTTTCTTTCTTTTCTCAAGATTCGATTATTAACTACCATTGTGATGTGCTTCAGAAACAAATCGCGATTGGGATCAACGAAGTCACTCGTGTTCTTGAGAGGATGAAATCCAACACTACTGACCAACAACAAAACCCTAGACCAACTCCTGTTCAACTTCAGGTAACAACCATATAAACTTGTAACAATCTCATTAGAAAAAATCTACTGAATTTAGAGAGAATATTGTTTTCATCACAGGTAGTGATTGTAGTAGCAGATTGTAAACCGAGGACGCTAACGAAGCATATACCCAACTTAGCTGCTTCAAGGAATGTTCCGGTACTCTATATACGAGACAACAAACGAGCCTCTCTCAGATTAGGAGAGCTGGTTAAGCTCAAGACGGCTCTTGCCATCGGTGTCAAGGCTAGAGGAAACGATCTCAATCTACTACTTCAACAGATTCTTACTAGAGATTCTTGATCCTGTAGGAGAAGGGAGTTTCTTTTATCTTGTTATGATGTGATATTTTCTCAGTGTAGTAATATATACAGATAAATGACATTGACAACAAATTTTAGCGATTTCGCCTATTTTCGATGTATCCATTGAGCTCTTTTTCTACAGACGAATTCCCGCTCTAGTTTCCCAAAAAGATTTTACCGTTTACTGCTCTTAGGCGCTGGCAATTGAGGATGGCTCATCTGTGACACCGACTTGGTTAGGCTTCTCAGTAACATTATCCACTTGTTTGCTCGGTTTTCCGTTCTGAGACTTCTTCTCTTCGTCCTTCTTTACCCGCACTGGTTGAAACTGCCACAATAAAGAGAAATGAATCAAAGCTTAATGAATAAATTACCGTGTGAAGTGAAGCAGAGGTTTTGATTTAATCAAGAACCTGATATATGGAGTATATAACATTTCTTCGTATTTGAGCCATCATTTCCAGAAATAGATTGTATCCTTCAAGCTTATACTCGATGAGTGGATCGCGTTGCGCATATCCTCTAAGCCCCACAGCTTGTTGCACAAACTTGAGTGCTTGAAGGTGTTCTTTCCATAACCGGTCAATATTGCTCAAGATTAAGAATCGTTCAGCATCTTTCATTAGCCCTGGTGATTGTTTCTCCACAATTTCCTATGAATGATATAACAAGCTTAATTAACCACACAGCTTTTGGTATCTTATACCAATGTGAAAAAAGGCTAAGAATTCATCTATAACTTACTCTTTTCTGTAAGTATGCATCGCGGCCACGGGCACGTAGATAATCTTGCAACCCTTCGTAACTTGATCCTTGGCTTTTCAGCAAATCTGGAGTGAGATCGTTTAACAGGTAACAGTACCTAAGAGATTGAATTTTAGAAGTTATAAGAGCTTAAACAAACGGAAAGTGATTATCTATGTGAAATGTTTTCCCTAAAGAAGTATAATTCTTACTGCTGAACTTTCGCAATGAGCTTTTCAAAATCCCAGCTTTCTTTTGGAGTATCTGGGCCAATATTTGCCTAGTAATGGTAAAACGAGTTTCAACTGTTGGTATAGAGAGACTCGGGGGAATAAAGAACTTCTTTAGTAACATCAATATCAAACGGCTTACCTCTAGAATGTCATCCATTGTCAATTCAGCATACTCGATAATCAGAGGCTCGAGGCTGTCTGACACAAGAGCACGCCTTCTCTCTGTGTAAACACGATCTCTTTGGCTATTGAGAACCTCGTCAAATTCGAATAGTTGCTTTCTAATGTCAAAGAAGTAATTCTCAACTTTTCTCTGAGCTTCATCTAGAGCTTTAGTAAGCATCTTGGATTCGATCGGTAAGTCTTCTACCCTGAATGCTCTCATCATACCCTAAGAGTTAAAGGCAACTATGTTTAGCTGATTATTCTCCAGAAGAATAAATAAATTATAGATACAAATGTCACCTGAATCCGATCTCCACCAAAAATGCGGAATATGTTATCTTCAAGACTAAGGAAGAACCGGGAACTTCCAGGATCCCCCTGCCGACCACTTCGCCCACGCAACTGTACATATTCAAGAAGGTTTATTTCACTGGAAAAGAAACCTGAATCAACCATAAATCTCCTCGCAACAAATATAGTAAGGTAACCTGATTGTCTATTCGGCGTGATTCATGCCGCTCTGTCCCCACAACGTGAAGTCCACCAGCTTCCACAACCTGCAGCAGTTCAGAAGAATAAAAGATCAACAACAGACACTTGACGGAGATTCACATACTGCTCTGCTGTAACAGAACTAACCTTCTTCCTTTCTTCATCAGTGTAGCCCTTATATTCTTTCGCTATCGCCAGAAATGCGGTCCTCAGTTTAGCTATAACTTCATCTTGGACAGGACCCTGAGAAAAGGAGGAAAGTTCAATGACTCAGATAAAAAAATCTAACATATGAAGATATACTTCCAGGATTTCTCAGTTGTTCACCTTTTCACAAGAATAAGATAGACGTTCCTCTGCTTCAAGCTCAGTTAACGATTTCTGGCCCCAAGCCTCTACAGCTGATTGTACAGCTTCTTCAGCTAGCTTTACTTTCTCATTTGACAATTTGCATGGAAATAACTTCTCGTTCACCTGAATCGTAAAGTTTTTCCTACTTAGCTCAGTTTAATCATTAGAATCTCATGTTTACCAAAACCAAAGACTCTGGAAAGACCAAACCTTCCATGTTCTCTTGGGAGGGGCCTTCTTCACAGATACGAAAACACCATCAGTAGGCTTTACCACTCTGTAGTAACATTCAAAATGTAACAAAAACTTCAGGTAAAAAGAAATTATGAACTCCAAGGTTCTTCGTCAAACAAAGTACATAACCTGAAATTTATCAATGGTGGATAAAGGATCTTTCTTATGTGGACAAAATATTTATTAGCGATTTAGACCTTTTTTATTGATTTAGAATGCTTCATGCATGATACCTGGGCATAAGTATCTCACGGAGCTTCAACCGTGCCATAAACTCTGCGTTTCCACCAAGAATTATGTCTGTCCCACGCCCTGCCATATTTGTGGCAATTGTTACTGCTCCTAAACGGCCACTTTGTGCTACAATTTCAGCTTCCCTCTCCACATTTTCTGGTTTGGCATTGAGGACCTTTTTGTACAACATATATATAACATCATCTGTCAGTTTTCTTGTACAGGGAATATAATTGTTTTGATTTTTTTATTGGTTTGCCTTTACATACACTATTTGTTAGACGCCAAAAAGTTTTTTGAACTATATACTAACGGAGCATATTTTTGGATTCACTTCTGCATAGATCACACGTCCAAGATTTTTAATCAAAAACACATGAAAGCCTTACCTCATGAGGTATTCCAGCTTCCCGCAATAGTTGCGATAGTTCATCACTCTGCTCGACACTGGTTGTACCAACTAGCACAGCCCTACCTGTCTTGTGCATTCTAGAGATCTCCACTACTACTGCCCGCCATTTACCATTGACTGCCTTGAAAACTACATCCGACTCATCCTGCAAGGGATTTAACAAAGTATAAGACTGGAAAAAAAAAAAAACGATTTTTTCGAAAAGACAAAACACCAAAATTGAAAGCTAGTGCAGCATACAATGTGCTTCCAGAACTAACATGGCTACTTAACACATTCCCACTTTAACAGATCTCATTAGAAGGCCTACAAGCACACATTTAGAGAGAGCAATCCCGAGGAGCCACCTGAATTTTGACTTTTGAGGTGCAAATTCGAAGATATGAGACAAACCTTTCTTATCATGGGCTTATTTGTGGGTACAATTGTAACTTTGAGCTTGTATATGCTCTCAAATTCAGCACTCTCGGTGGATGCAGTACCAGTCATCCCGCAAAGTTTCGGAAACTACAGGATAATAGAAATTATGCATTACAAATGCGAAATAACAATATTCAAAAAGTGGAAAGTAGGCATTTCCAACCTGCAAAAAGAAATTTTGATAACTAATTGATGCCAAAGTAATAGATTCATTCTGAATAGGCAAGCCTTCTTTTGCTTCAACTGCTTGATGTAGTCCGTCACTCCAACGTCTTCCCTGAAAGAAACAACTTATTCAGTGGGTGCCTACGTATTGGTTTTTCTCTATGTTTTTCTTGTGGCCTAAAAACCATAGCACCAAGATCACTAAAATGATAAATAGTGATAATTATTTCTTATTAAGATGTATATTTCATATCAGTTAGCAACTCAATATAAACAAGTACCTGCATTACACGGCCAGTAAACTCATCCACGATAAGAACCTCCTTTGCCCGGATGATATAGTTAACATCTCTGAGAAAAAGTTCTTTTGCCTTGATGGCATTAAGAACATATGATGCCCATTGTTCACGGGGATCATACAAATCTTTCACGTCCAGGATTTCTTCTGCATCCTCATAACCCTGTTCTGTTAGTAAAACAGTCTTCTGCTTTTCATCAACCTGCAACACCAAAAAAAACTCAGTGAGCAATTAGAATTTGGAAGATGGATGGCCAACTCCACTTAATAATTGCACACAAAAAATGTAAGAAAACTGAGGAGTCTTACAGTGTAATGTATATCCCGCTCAAAGGCTGAAGCAATCTTTGCAGCTTTGTAATATTGGTCACTAGGTTTCTCTGCAGGCCCAGAGATAATGAGAGGAGTCCTTGCTTCATCAATAAGTATGGAATCAACTTCATCAATTACACAATAATTGAAATCCCTCAAGACGAGCTCCTCCACACTCTGTACATTCAGTAACAAACTCAGCAAAGACATTCAAAGAACATTCATATAATCCCGAACGAAAAAAGAGAAAATAAAGCAAGAATTACTTTCCGTGGCAAGATTGTCTCTCAGATAATCGAATCCAAGCTCACTGTTGGTGACATAAGTGATGTCGCATAAATAATTTTCCTTTCTTTGTTCAGGTGTCATATTCTCTGTCAAAGTAACAAACCTATAAATAGTAGAACAACAACACACAACGAACAAAGAAGATGATGATCACATTGACCATGAAGTTCAGAGAAAAGAGACATACGTTGGATTAGACCAACCTTCAATCCAAGGAACCTAGGAACTTGACCAACCCATTCACAATCTCTTCGAGCAAGATAATCATTAACTGTAACCACATGAACACCTTTGCCACTTAATGCATTCAAATAAGCTGGTAAAATAGCAACAAGCGTTTTCCCTTCACCAGTTCTCATTTCTGCTATTTCTCCTTTATGAAGAACCATACCACCTGCACAATTCAAACCAAATAGAGAGTCCACTCAAAAATTTCTTCTTAACAGTGAAACCTTAAGATCACAGTCCACAGAGATTGTGTTACCAATTAATTGCACATCAAAAGGTCTGAGTCCAAGAACTCTCTTGGAAGCTTCCCTCACAACAGCAAATGCTTCCTACAATTTGAAATTCCACAATTGAATCAAAATCTTTGTGTCAAAACCAAAAACCGAAACTAAAGGATTGGAAAAAATTACAGGTAAAAGTGAATCCATGGATTCTCCTTTCTGAGCCCGTTGCTTCAACGCATCAGTCCTTTCTCGCAACTCTAAATCCGAAAGAGCAGAAATCTCAGTCTC